TTGCATTTAGTCTGGTAGGCAGTCTCAGCGTGTCAGCTTGTAGTATCTCATATTAGTTCTGGACATACTAATGCTGTCTTTCATTTTGGTTCAGTTTGGTTGAAGCTAATGAGAACAGATGGGGGGAACTAGGAAATTTCCAGTCCTCCCACTGCAGCTAATTATGTCAGCTGGGGCACAAGGGTACATCAGCTTGTTGTCTTACAGCCAGAAACCTTCAAAGTAGTCACTTAGACTGCTGGGTGTGACAGATGACTGTTCAAACATGAGAACTTAAGTTGTGTCCTCCTTGAAATGTGTGGTTTAAAACTTCTGCGTAAAGCTGAGTGACAAGATCTCCGCTTTTCTTTATTAGGCATGAGAGTTATCTTTTACTTCCAGCATTAGAGGTGATTCAAATAGGTTGCTGTTGTGTTTGCGAAGTCTGGCTTTTGCTCTGACATCTCTCTGTCTTCCACACTGAAGGCGTTACAGCCATGGCTGTACTTTCTCTATGCTCCCGCTTCTCTTTTTGCATTCTTCATTAAGTTTCTCCAGGATATTCATCCTTTAGTATCTCAGTGTTTTACAGTGTTGTCCCAGAGCTCATGTTTTTTATTTATCACATTTGAGCTGTCATTTTAAATACACCCTCCACACCTATTTTTCTTCACCACCTAATGCGTTGCCTTTGACGTTTGGGCCACCATACAGAGTTGTCTTGTAGTTATTTGCTTTGTGTCACCGTGAAGTGCTGACATGTAAAGCAGAGTAAATAGTAGGCCAACTTTTTACTGGCTTTCCTGTGTTGTAGTATCTGATGGCTTATTTCTATTAGACCTACATGTTGAGACAATATTGATTTTCAAAATAGTGTTGAAAGCTCTTTTCATTTCCATTCTCTCTTCTCTTTCAGACTTGGTGATACTTACAGTCTTTGTTTTTGAGCTCTAGCTGCTGGACTTGTGTAAATCCAATGTGCTTTTTCTTTGAAAAGCTTCTAGTTTTCCTATGAATGCATTCAAGACTTCTTGAATCTTAAGGCTAAAACCTGAAAGCTGAAGGTTCAGTGTTAGTTTCTTGAAATTAATCACCTTGTGCCACATACAAGTACTATGATATGCTAAATTTCATTCCATTCCTCACTTTAAATGCTTGAGTCTGATACTGTGACTGCAGGTACTGCAAGGAAACAGTCCTGTTATCCTGTTCTTAGATTAAAATGACGTTTCCTTAGTCCCTGACTGTTGTGTGGGAAAGAGTTGTATAGCTTAATGCTGCAAAATTAGCAGTTCTACCAGAAGCTTCTCCAAAGCTCTCTGATCTTGAGAGCACCTGTATTTGGCTGAATTTCTGGGTAGCTTGTCCTTCAAAGAAGCTACTGACCTCTTAACTCAGGTTTGGGAGAGATGCAAGATTGGGTTTTGCTGACCTTCCATTCTAGCAGCAGAAGCTTGAGTAACTCTTATCATGGATAAATTTGTAGTTATAGAGGTATTTTTGTGAGCTAAAATGCCAAGGTCTTTTATGCTAACATTCAATTTGCTGTGTAGAATTCTAGTAAATACGAAGGTAAGCAACCTAGGATGATGGTTACTTTTAGATTCTGGCAACCAGATGAACTGCCTATTGGTCTCCTGTTACATGACAAAAAGCTAGCAGTAGGAATAATGGGTAGCTGTGTCACTGCAACTTGATGATACAGAGTTTGAAAAGGTCTGAACACTGCTCCATTTAGCTGTGAGGTCTCTATGAAATGGTGTCCTTTGCTTTCTTTCTTGTAGCCTGATCAGATCTCTCCTCCAATTGCTTGTATGCTTATGCAATGCCTGTTGTTGCTATAGTGAAATAATGCTTTGAGATGGTGTGTGCTGTTGTAGCCTTATTGGTTTTTGTTTGAAAATACTGGCCCTGAAATGTTTCAGGGACAAAATATATATATCTCCAATATTCTCTATGGGAGAGGTGAATTTACCATCCTCTAGGGTATTGTTACAACACAGAGCTGGTTTGTGCTATTACAAGACTGGGAACAAGTATTTTTCTTTCAGTTTCATTGGCAAATAGGAAACAATCTTTGTAATTTTGTGTCTGCACCAAAAAGGCATTGTTGATGGGCTCTGAATAAATCAGGCCATCAGGCTGGCTGTTTGCATTATCAGCCTGAATGATCCGAAGAATTGGATTACTTCTGTGACACTGAGAGAACACTGAACTCTGTGTGATACTTGCCTTGGGGACAAGTAAGGACTCTACACGTAAAGGTTATCTGCTGGCCAGCCAAAATCTGACATCAGCTACAGCCTTACCAATGGATATAGGAAAACTTTAGTTGAGTTGTTCACTTGATTCACTGTTATGCTTCAAAGAAGTGCAGTGGAAATTAAAGCCAAAACTGGAACTTTCATGTGTCGTAAATGAGATCTGATGTTTCCTCAGGTGACTGATAGGAGGCCTTGTGGGTTTTTTTATGTGCCAGAGTCAGGTTTGATTCTTCTGTAGCTGATGCATGCTATGTCCTCTGTGTATCTGTTGTTTTGGCTCAGTCTGTGCTAGGATGCCCTTGCAGTAAGATGGGTGAGTGACTTTGCAAGCTAATTTGGCTGGAGAGGTGCTGAGAGAATAGGTACAGTAGATGTACTTCACTAGCATGGAAGCAATGAATCATCAAATCAGTAGGCAACTTAACTTTTCATTTCAGGAGAACGTAATCATGCACAAAATAGCAGACAGATTTCACTGCCACTTTTCAGTGTTTCAATATTCTTACCAATTGCTTGTTTTATTTATTAGTGTTTCTGGAGCAATTATCATTGTGGTATGGCACAATTTAGTCCTAAACAGAGCAGGAAGCCAGGTCAGCAATTCCCTTCCCCTTTCACTCACTTGCCAATGAAATCAAGTATGGCAGTTCTGTATGTAAGATCTGTTATTGTCCAGTCAGAGGGGAAACAGTCCAAAGTAGTTGCTAACAGTTAGCATGTAAATGTGGTAACTGAGCTAGATTTTGTGCTTTCTATTCCAGGCCAGTCAATATTGTTCTGATTTGAACTTAACTGGATGAGAAGTAGAGCTTGCACTGGGAATATACATTAAATTAATGAAAAATATCTAAATTGCTGTTCTTTTCCTTTAGCTTGCTATCATCTTGTGACTTACAAATAAATTAAAAAACAAATGATATTGAACAATGGGTTCTTTTCTTTTTTGAGTGCTGTAGTATCACTCATTTGGCTCCCATGGGGATCCAAGCAAAAGCAGTAAGAAAGATCAAAGTTGCGGAAGCTGAAAGCAGCATTATTTCCAATGCTAGGTTAGGTTGGCTGAGGCTCTGTCAAGTTGTGTCTTGAAAAAATCTGAGGAAGGTGATTGCACAGCCTCTGAGCAGCCTGTTCCAGAGCTGCTGCCCTCCTGGTGCGTGACCTTGCAGCATGAGAGCCAGGTTGTTTCAGATCTCTGACTTGAACCAGCCTGCTGTTTCTTGTTTTCATGGTACCCATCTGATCAGTGCCCTTCCTTCCCTCCCCCAGGCTGCGGTGCTTGGGCTGTAGCTATGCTAAACATTTAATTTTCATCGTGTGTTAACTCTTGTTGACTTTGCTTTTTGGAGAGCGACCATTAGGCATTTTATTTTGCAAAATGATGTGCACTAAGCACAATTATTTGCACAGTCGTCTTGATACTAGCTCAAAAGTCAATAGTTTGATTAAAATATTGTACTATTTAAAAACAGGACAGTGCATTTTAAACTACCAGTCAGATTCTTTTGAATTCAAGAGCTTCCCTTGCCTAACTGTAAGATGCAAGTAATTTTTGGCTCACCCAATTCTGTTAACTGTATACACTGTTTTGAAATTCTATCTTGTATACCACTGTCCTTTTTCTCCTACAAAGGATGTGAAAGTCTGTCTTGAAATGGTTGCAAGAACTTGTAACTGTTGAATATTGGAGTATTTCCTATACCCAGGCCCCTTATTTGGGGATGCCTCCTTTGATATGAGCAGGTAGTTGATACCTGCTCTAAAATCTGTCCCAGGTAGGAGCTGTCAATCAGCTGTTTTTGAAGAGTCTCTGATTGTATTAAAGTAACTCTTCTGCTCACCTTTTGTCTGAATGGTTGCTCAAGGGCACAGCACTGTGATCAACCAAAAGTTTGTATTTAAAAGGAGTAAAACAAACGCAAGAGGGTTGTTATTGCCTGCTTGTCTGTATGTTCTGCAAGTGTGCTTCCCAGCAAGAAGTGGGATAAGAAGCTGCTCAAACACAGCATAGCTGTTAGTGTGATATAAGCTGAATAAAGCACAAATCCACCGTTGCTGTAATGATGATTTGAGAGGCAGTGGAGTTGCTGTGGCTTAGCCCTGGTGCATTCTGCATAGCATTTGTTGGGGTGCTGGTTTCTTTTGCGGTCTCCTGTAACATTTATCTTATACTTAGTGCAGGTTCTTTTTCATAGGGGCTTCCATCTGATGGAGTTGATGTACTGAACACACTGGGAATCAAATTGCTGATTAAGATGTGTAGATACAGGAATGAAAAAGTTGGACTTACAGTAATATATTGTAATATTTTTCTTTGATGTTGCTTCAGTTTAGGGAATTGATAATCTGAAAACTCGATCAGGCTCTGTGACCTACATTTGGATACTTAGCCCTCTCACTGTTTTATTCTGCCTGAGAGCCAGTTCTTCATCTTCATTTATTTTCCACACACAGAAATGAGAGGGTAGTGTTATACTGTAGGTGTTTCTTAAGGGTCTCATTAAACACAAGTATTTAAATACCCCTGAGTTAATGTAGTGGTGGCTGTTGCATGCATCTTTAACATGAATGCATCGGTAGAGCTGGAGAACAGAGACATTTTCTGCCTCTGTTGGTTGGCAAACTTCCTGCCTGCTTGGCAATTAAGAAAAAAATGTTTTTAATGCATAGCTGAGCTGAAGGCAATTGTGTAATGATGAATTTTACATTTCTGACGATATCTGAAGTTGGTTAATTACAAATGTTGCTTTGTCTTTTCAGTACATCAACTACGGAAACCTGGAACAGCTATTAGACAGCAACCAGCATCTGCCTTGGACAGTGAGGGTGAAATTGGCATATGACATCGCTATGGGAATCAGTTATCTTCACTACAAAGGCATTTTCCATCGAGACCTTACATCCAAGGTACTGTATGTAAAATGAAGAGGACTTGAAATGGAGATGCTATAACTCATTGTGTGGTTCTTTCTTCTTTCTGAAGCATCCAGAAAAATGCTATCTTAGCTAAAGGGGAACTTTTTTTTAAGATTAAAGACACATTTTACAAATAAAAATTAAGTACAGTGTGTTTGAAAGTTGAAGTGACTGCTAGTCTTTCATCCAGTTTTCTTAAATCTATCTCAGTGTATTGTTAAACAGATGAAGGACTTGATTTAGAAAAGAGTTTAAAAAAACAACAAAACACACACAAAAAAAGTGAAACACTTATTTCACATACCAGTTTAACAGAAACTGTAGAATATTTCTTTGGATGGCCTTTCAAATGAAGGGTACTGAATTCAAGAATATCAAATTGATACAAAATGCCCAGACTTGATGTCATGTCAGTTTGATATAATAGACTCAGAAAGCTCCATATAAGTCACCTTGGACTGTGCAGGTAAGAAATGTGTAACAATAATTGAAAAGATGAATTGGTGTTCCCGTTTGTTTTGTTCCCAGTTCATGATGAATTATAGAGCACTTTAGAGTGCGGAAGAAGAGTTGCTGCAAGGAACCAAAGTACCAAGGAGAACTAAGGAGATTGCCCTCAATATTTATCATAAATGCATACTGTGGTGGCTAGTCATATGAAAATCCATTTCCTGAGACCTCAGTGAATGCCTTTGTTCAGGGCTTTGCGTGATTGTACATAGTTCTCTGGAGCTGCCATAACAATTGCTTCAGTGTTATCCGTTGCTGAGATGGTGTAAGTCATTGTTTGCTGGGCAGAGTGCACGGTCTCAGTGCACCAGCAAACACATCAGTGGCCACAGGAAGTAAGAAATCCTAAGAAATTTTTGACTTTGGCTTTTGGCTGCTGTTGGAGGAAACAGATTTTGTGTTTTACCAGGTTTGTGCAGCTGGTGGGATAAATCGTTGTCCTTTCTTTCCACTAAACAGCGTGTGAGTGAACTGGAAGAAGATTTGAGAGGCTTCTTCCTTAGGGGAGAGCTTGCGATCTGGATTGGCTAAGGGTAGATTGAATAGTGTCCTGTATTAAGCTTCCTTCTTCACAGAGCTTCAGTTATTGGTGTGATGATTTCCTTGTCTTTGCCCTCATGTGATCAATGATTCAGACATTTAAAAAAGTCAGAACAAACACTGAGTTTGAAGTGAAGAGGAAGGTATTTTTCTAAAAATGTAAGGACCTTAACTGAACTGGATTTGCTATGTGGGAGTGTCTTTTTAATTTACATAGCACACTTTTATCTATTGAAAATCATCTCTCCAATATGAATTTTGCTTAAATATTCTGGATTAGTTGACCTGTACTTCTGCCTTTCTTCCTGTTTCTGGCAATACTTAGAATTCCTGCAGCTCCCTGTAAGAGGTGGTGTGAATCATGAAGTTTGTTTGGTCAGCTACAGCAGCAGAATTGTCTTGCTCTGACTGTAGCATTATATGTGTACAAGAACTGGATCCACAAAGGCTTGGAAAAGACAGTCCATGTTCCCTATCAATCTAGGATTGAAAAAATAATTGTTTTTGACAATGAGTTTATGGCAGGATGATCTCTGTTCCTAATTGCTCCACGTGGACAGTAGCAGCACAGTGTTAATAGCATTGCAGAAAGCCAGAGGGAAAGAACGGTAGCGAGGAGTAGATGTAGGTCAGTGTAGTCAATGTGGCAGCCCACAGGGGATGTCAAGCTTGCCATTCTGTTTGTGCCCTTCCTGCTGCCCTTTTGTCAGAGTGGGAGTCTTGTTAGTCGAGGGGGAAATACCAGCTGTCTGGGCAGCGCCATTCTGTAAGCAGCTCTGGGCTGTAGCTGGGCTGTAGCCCTGTAGCTGATCAGGTTGATCTGCCCTGATCGACAGCAACAGCCCAGCTTGGATCTGCCAGGAGCTGGGCAGTTGGATTGGCTGCTCCCAGCCTGCAGATGGTAGGTGTGTGGGCAGGGTGACTTGTACGTTTTGTAAACCAATATGGTGTCCTCACTTTTCACTTGTCATAAAAAGATTGATGCAAAGATTAAGCATACAGCCATAGATGGGTTATGACAACCAGCCTCTTTGGCTCGTTCCCTGTCTGTATTGTTGCAAGCCCTGTGAATCATTTCTTATTCTGCAGAGGATTGCAGAGGATTTGTGTCCTGGAATCGTGAGGCTTTTCTTAGTATTTTAGTGATTCTGAAGACTCTGACAGCCTTAATCATAAAAGATGCTGTTGGTAAAGCGAAATCATAATGTGAAACACTGGAAATATAATGATAAGAGTCAGTGAATTGTGATAAAGCTTTACTTAATCCAACTTAGTTTCTCAACTTTCCGTCTGCTGTTACCTGCCATTAAAATATCGTGTTTGAGAAAACATGGGGAAGAATATGTCTGCATAATCAGTCTGCAAAAAGAATGCAACAAAATCCTCACCCCTTAGAATAAATACCTTTTTACTGCATAGAGTTCTTTCAGCATCTTGTTTACACTGTATTTTTTTCATATACAAATCTTGCTCTGCAAGCATCGTTAATTTCTTTGGAAACTTACAGCAGTGATTGCTTGATTGTCAGAGAATTTATGCCTGCAGTATCTCTGAGATAAGGGAGATGAATAAACTCAGTTTTACAAGATGAAAAGCAAGTATATTGGTGAATATTTGGTGTTTTGAGACCGTTTGGGGTATTTGATATTTTAGACTTATTTAAGGGACAGCTGGTAGTATGCAGTACTTATAAAATAGTCAGGTTTTGCTTCTTGAGGCAATGAAAGTGATAGATTAGCATCAGTCCCTGAAATATTTTTGTGAAACTAGATTTCATGTCGCAGAATTCTCCAGTGGTGCCAAGGAGGGACAGAGTCCAAATCCTGGAGCAAGAACACAGTATTCTTAACCATGAGACTGAAGACCTTCATTTCTAAAACAGCCTTTCTTTTTCACCTCTTCCCAACCTTTCTCTCACCCTTCTGTTTCTGTTGCAAAAGCAATTGGATTCCTGAAAACAACGGACCCAAGTGTTCTATGTACAATCCAAAGTCATCTATTTGAATCTATTGTATACACTAAAAAAACAAGCATGCCAGTTGGAAAATGGGCTGTATGATCCTGTAATTAAAGGCTTTTACCTTAGTTCATGTACAGAAGGGAAAGGATGAAAGTTCTCACATCCTGTCTTTCATATAACATTATTTTTTTAATGTAGTTTAATTTATGTACAACGCCCTGTGATAAAATACACACAAAACATGCAACACAAAACCCAAACTGGAAAAAAAAGTGACATTATTGAATTATTTTACAAGGTTAGAAGTCTGAGATGCATGGCAGAGGTGTCTACGTTAGTTAGCAATCTTCACGCATTAGTTATTTTTAGAAATATTTACTGCTACTGTTAGTTAGTATTAATAATACATACAGCAAGGTTCTGCTACAGAGCAGGAGTAGAGAGCAGGAAGTCTCCCTGGCAGTGAGAAGCTAACATCTAGCTGTTTGCCCTTTCCAAGGCATCATATCTACTCTGTAACTATCAGTTCTTTTCTGCTAGCGTACAATATCAGCCAATGTTCAGGCTCTTCATCCTTTTTCACAGGCTTTTCCTTTTTTTCTTTTTCTTTTTTCTCCCAGCTCCTACTCCCAGCCCTGTGGTTTAGTCTCCTTGTTCAACTGCCTGCAGTTGCTCTTCTCTTAGTGCTCCTGCTTGAAGCTTTATCTAAGCCATTTCTCTACATTCTGGTCTTCAGTATGTTTAGCTATTTGTGAGTCTCCTATTGTTCTGCTCCAAGTGAGCTCTGTTCCTTTTCCTTACTTGTTTGCCATTTCCACAGTTCTTACGTCGTAGCAAAAGCCTTTGTTTATTATCTGCTACCCCAAGAACCTAGCTTAAGACCCTCAGTCAATCCCTGCCAGTCTCTGGCTTGAGCTTCTGGTTGGTCTTGTCACCTAATTCCCTCTTTCATATTCCTCACACTGAACATAACCTGTTCCAGTTTACTTTCGGCATACAGAAGTCTTGTTGTACTTGAAGTTGAGAACATGTCAAATCTGAGTGATACCATAAGCTAATATTTTGTCGAGAACTTCCCAAACAAATGTCTTAGTAGAAAGCAAGCTCTTATAATCAATAGTACGTTGTGAGCAGTTTGAGTAAGCTCCATTAGTGATAAAATCTGTGAAGGAATTGTAATCTATAGGCTGGAGTATGCGTGTGGTTATTTTTGCCAAAATATGCTTTCACTTCCCAGTAAACATGTAATAGCTTACCCTTCTCTTGCTGAGAGATGAGTGATCTCAGTTCCTATAGGGAGAGAAATGTGTGTATGCAGTTTCTGTGGGCCATCTGGTATAAGATAAATTCATTGCCTTTGGCCTTGAAAGTGACATACCTTGACTTCCTACATTGTATGCCATTTTCTTGCTCAAAACAAAATCCAGGCAATGAACAGGACCTTTGTCTGATGAGTCTTATACTTGCTGCTGCTGTTGTGAGGTCCCCTTTGTGCTCGAGTAAGCTGTCGCCTGGGTATTTTGTACCGTAGGAGAGGGTTTGCAGTGGAAAAATTAGCTGTTGCAGAGGATTACTTCTACAATAATACTGAACTTTTACTGGTACTTTGGGGCCCAAATGGAGACTGTCTCTGAAACATACTGGTTTCATTTAAAAATGTGTATGGTGTTGTAAACTTCCTTTTGCACGTTTAATAGTCAATGATGTTTCTGTGAGGGGATGGCTCTTTAAAAAAAAACAGATGATACATTTAAGTGTTTTAATTCAGTAACATTCATCAGAGCTTTGGAAATGACACGTTGGTAGTATTTCTGTGTTTTCTGGCATGCAGTAAAATCTCAGAGTTAAGCTTGTATGTCATATCTTAAAATAAAACAATGGGGTTTCTTCAGCTAAACTTATTTTTAACTCCAAAACTTTGCAGTCTATTTTTGGTTTTGTTTGTGTAAAAGGGAGAGTAGAATATTGCATTCATCTTAGCAGGATTATGCTGTACAAAGCAGATGTTAAGCTCCTGTAACACACAAAGGGGGCTTTATATTCTTTCACATCTGTCTCTACATAAACAGCTCTGTTAACTCTTTAGGACTCATGTACAGAGCTCCCAGTTTGTGTTCAGAGATTGCCTCAGGAAGGACTGATGCGATCACCATTTCAGGGGAAAAAACCTCAAGAATCCAACTGAAGTCAAATGCTGCCGTTTCTGATCGTGTGAGCTGCCAAAGGAAAGAATATCCTTCTTTATGCAGAGCTCCAAAGAGAGCTTGAGAAGGTCTTTGTGTTTTATTGCCTTGCAGCTTATACAAACAGCACAATAGTAAGACAAACAAGTTTTCTTAAAGCCTGTGTTGTAAAGCTGCTTGACATTTTATCTCACAGGCAGTTTCTGAAGCTGTCTTTTACACTAGAGGGGAAATTGAACTCTTGTGTCTCTGTGCTCAATTCTAGTAATTAAACTTCTTAGCCAATTGATACATGTGTTTTTTTGGTAGAAACTGAGAAGTATCACGTAGGAGAAAGGAGCAGTATGCTAGGCTGTGCTTTCCCTACTCAGATACAAACTAGCTTAAATATAAAACTTCTCTACAGCCTTTCAGACTCTAATGAAGCTTTGTTCCATTTTTGATCCTGATTTATCTTGGTAGCAGAATGTGAGTGATGAGAAATGCCTTTCGCTGAGTGCACATGAACAACCAGTTACTACTTACCGTAGGCTCTGAGTGACCTTTCCATGAATTGCATCTTAAATCTGGTAATAAACTGTCCATGCTGTGAATTTGGTGCAGTGTTGTGTAATGGTTTTATAAAGGTGGGAAGGCTGGAGGAGGAGCGTAGTGGTGCTTCTTCCTGGAACACGCAGAGAGTCTCAGTACAGAGCAAAGCATCACTGTCTGCAGAACTTTGTAATGAGCAGTGCAGGCTTTAAAAGTGACATCTGGTTTCGCTGGTGTCCTCACGAGGGCCTTACCTACTGATTTCTGTAGGAATAGGCTTTCATCCTTATTGCACTAGAGCACATGTGTTAATGAATTCAAATGCAGTCATTACTTTAGAAATGCAGAAAAAAGACAGACTCCCATTAACGACAGAGAACAGCTTAGCCTTATTTACTTCATTTAACACTGTGCAGCCCCCACAGTGGAACATTTGCCGAGCGTTTTATATCAGAAATGTAACCCTGAGCTCTCCTCTGTTCCTCATGGTGCCGTCGTGTTCTCCCTGGAGCTGATGGGTCAGCAGGTGGAGTGGGATGTCACTTCTGTTCGACATCTCAAAAAGCTCATGCTGAAGGGGAGCCTGACTTCACCTCAGCTCAGCTGGGAAGGAGCTCAGGGCTGTCAGGTAGCATTATCTGGCAGCTATGTTGCATGCTCTGTTGGTTTAATTTATGATTTATCCGGGAATAATCTACTTGTATAACAGTTCAGTGCTGCACCTGAGAGTTGAGACTGCCTGGGGCTCAGTGTGGGGATAGGATTGTTCCATCTGCAGTGGGTAATGTGTTACAGTCAAATGGGATGTGATTCTGTAACGGTGAGAAGCTGAAGGAAAATTTTCTGTCACGTTTATGTTGTGTTTTAGCATCCTTTTGTTATCAGAGCAGCCCTGTAGATTATTGCAAATCCAAAGCTCAGTATAGAACTGTTTCTGCAGGTTTTCAGATATGCTGAGAATAGTTGGTGGTCTGCACTGAAATATTTCTCTGAAATGTTTGCAGTTTGAGGATTAATGGTGAATAGCCCTAATATACAAAACCAGATTATAGAATGAGCTACTGTGGTTTTGCTACTAAAAATAAGCAACATGTAAACAAAGTTAATGCAAGAGGGGAACATAGATCTTAAAAATAAATATTTTGAATTATAAATAGATTTTTTAAAATATAAAATTTTGAAACATCTTTAATCACTGAAAAATCTGTCAGAAAACAACTCAATACAGGTTCATGTAGTAAAGTATCAGCATTCTTGTGCACTGTCAGACCTCTGCTGTCCTTCTGGGCTTGCTTCTGTAGCACACAATGAAATTCCCCATGGCTGAATCATTTGGGTAAGATTTTTTCAGGAAAGTTTTATCCTTCTCAGTTAAGTCCACTTACAGCAAGCAAATGTTTGAACAGAGCAAGCTGAATGAATGTGTTCTTTGATAAAAGATGATAAAGCCCATAACTGAGAAGCTTTACTGCTCTCTGGACAAACATGGTTGGTTTAACTTTGTACATGTTTATGAATCCCCAAAGTAACTGTTCTTATTATGCTCGAGTCATGCTGAACAAACAGAACTTTGCACCTCGGGGCTGAGATGTGTTTTACGTGGTTGTGAGCGTCTCACTTAAAGTTGTAATTGGCAGGAAGAAAATTCGCTTCGTGGCCTGAGCCACAGTCAGCCCTGAATGTGTAAACAGTAATGACCTGAACTTGATCTTTTAGACAAGGAACTCACTTTTTTTGGTAGCTTCATTATACAGACAAGCTAATACTCTGGGGTCAGTGAGGGGCTTTTGTATGTCCCAGCACAATAAAGCTGGAAAGTGGTTCCTGCTGTTCAGCTAATGAATGCAGGGTATTGCTCCGGCAGTGGCTTTGCTGCCTGCCGCTGCTTTGTGCTGCCTGCAGGAGGATGCATGCGCTGAGGGAATGAATGCTGTCTTGCCCCACCTACTGTAAGACAGGAAAAAAGGCTTCAGGAAGTCAACCGTTAATTTATTTGGTTGGAAAGGAAGAGATGTGGAATGGTTTGTAGAGTTGTAAATAAATAAGAAATATAAATGGGTAATGCCTTGCATGTGATGAGATGCTGCCAGACCAAAGTTACCTGAGGGAGGGGTGTTTGAAAGGAAGAGATGGACAACTTTTTCCTGCTATGGCCTTTTCCCTTAAATCATATTTGATCACGGAGTCGCAGAATTTTAGAGGTAGAAAGGATCCTCTAGAGATCTTCGAGTCCAGCTCTCCTGCAAAGCAGGCTCCCTGCAGCAGGCTTCACAGGTAGGCATCCAGGTGGGTCTTGACTATCTCCAGAGAAGGAGAATCCACAACCTTCCTGGGCAGCCTGTTCCAACGCTCCATCACCCTCACTGTGAAAAAGTTCCTTTGCATATAGGTGCAGAACTTCCTATGCTCCAGCTTATGGCCGTTTCGTCTCGTCTTGTCCCCACAGACTGCTGAAAAGAGGTCGGCCATGTCCGTTTGACTCCCACACTTAAGATATTTATAAACATTAATAAGATCGCCTCTGAGTCGTCTTTTCTCAAGGCAGAACAAACCCAGGTTACTCAGCCTTTCCTCATAGGGGAGATGCTCCAGGCCCTTTATTATCTGTGTGGCCCTCTGCTGGGCTCTCTCCAGGAGATCTGTCTTTTTTTGTACCAGGGATCCCAGAACTGGATACAGTATTCCAGGTGAGGCCTGACCAGGGCAGAGTAGAGGGGGAGGATCCACCTCCCTTGACCTGCTGGCCTTTTGATGCACCCCAGGATCCCATTGGCCTTCTTGGCCACCAGGGTACACTGCTGGCTCATGGCCAACCTGTCATCTACCAGGACACCCAGGTCCTTTTCTTTGGTAATGCAGTGTAGAATAAAGAATTTTATTTGAGACTTACAAAGCACGTGTAGCTTTGCCACATCTTGTGTTTTTCTGATGGAATTCTATTGCAAAGCAGTTGATTCCTTTTAAGTAGTCAGTATAGCAAAGGCATTGTTCTGATCTTGTATTCTGGTCAGGCCCAGGCAAACTGGACCTGAAGGGAAATTTAAGATGTCAAGGTGAGCTGCATGGATTGCATACTTGAGTAGTAAGGGAATTAAATCATTTGAAATCTCACCAGAATGTAGCTGGTACATGCTGCTGGTGGCTGCTGGCTTTTTCAGCAAGTTTTTAAGTGGATTATTAACTAAGTGTAAGGCTGTTTGCAGCATCTTAAGATTGACAGGTATGTGGTAGTACAGAGGGGAGACTAGGGGAAGAGGGTGGTTGCTCTCAGAGAAAAGCTTTTCATAGATGAATGTCTTCCAAATTATCTCTTGTGATGTCATTCCTGACTTAAACAAAATGAAACAAATAGTATATGAGTTTCATGCCCAGATAATAACTCTGTTTTCTTCTTTTTTTTTTCTCTAGAACTGCTTAATAAAACATGATGAGAATGGATACTCAGCAATAGTGGGAGACTTTGGTTTAGCAGAGAAAATTCCAGATCACAGGTACGTGAACTAATCAAAATATAGTGAGAGGTGAATGTTGTTGCAGATCAGAAGGTGTGGTAAGCTGGATCCCTGAGGCCATTTTTGCAAAATTTGTAATGAGTGCCCTCAGTCTTCAGCCTAGAACTGCAGTCTGGGTGACCACTGGTGTTCCATGTCTACTTATTGTCCATTCTGGTTTAGTGGTGTAATTTATTCTCTAAAAGTGCTCCAATGAATAAAGGATTTGCCCATGTTTTTCAGCAGATCTTTCAGGCAGGTATTTGGGAATTTTTGTTTTAAAAGAAAACAAATCAAAACTATATATTCTGTTAACAAATAAGTGCTGTACTGTCCAGCCTTTTGGATTGGGTTGATTTTATAATAAATATCCTCTATTGATTCCAAACAATTAGCTATAATTAGCTCCTTTCCAACCTTGTAAACAACAGTCAGTGGGATTCCACTATTTTTTTCTCTGTAACTTCAGTGTTAGTTCTTAAGATTTAATTTTATAAAGGAGAGATGCTAATATAATAGCAACTCATCACTTTGCTCTCTGTAGGATGAAATTGTAATCTTAATTCATTTGAGGAGTGCACAGGTAACTGTCACAAGCTATTGTCACAATTGGAAATAGTCCTTTTGTCATCCCTCTGTTAAGGAGGTCAGGGGTTTAATAGTTCTCTCATCTGTATATTGACCTGTATATTTCAGACTATTCTGACTGGAAACACGCAGTCATATTTTCTTCAGTGTGTGCTTCCATGTGAAAATAAATAAAAGCCTTCCAGCTCTTAAGATTGCAAAGAAAACAACAAAGATGATCCACGATATGCACTGTTACTGAACTGCATATATCCTAAAACTACAGCCTGGGAGGTCCGAAGGCTTGCATTCATCTTGGTGAAGTATATTTGCAAGCAGGCTGTGCTGAATGCTTCAGAACTGCTTATAGATATACGTGTAGGGGTAATTGCATTTTCTGCTGAACAGAGTGTTTGCCATCCAGCCAGAAACTGATCTGCACAAGCCTTTTTAAATATAGCTGAAGGACCTCATTCCACCAAGAGTTCAGAAATGAAAGCTTGAAATCTGTGACTTAAAGATAAAACAATAATTATTTAACAATAATCATTTAAAAATATATATATATTCAGACACTTTGGAACTGGAAGTACAATATTTTGATTACTAGTTCAAAATCTTGTGTTTCTTTCACTTTCTCTTCCTGTTATTGAATGTTCCAGTAATTCTAGTAGGAAATTAGAGTGAAATACAGTGTTATGGAAGGCACTTGTATAGACTTCACCATAGTTGCAGTTTCTGCAGATGCTCGCAGTTATGGAAAGTTTATAGCAATGTTTAAATGACAGCAATTCATTCATGGTTGTTCTCTCTCTTCCTGCTACCCTCTCTGATATCTATGTCTGTGTGTAGTGAGAAGTTACCAGTGGTGGGGTCACCTTTCTGGATGGCACCAGAAGTTCTCAGAGATGAACCTTACAATGAAAAGGTAGGTACATGTAAATGCACTTTAGCTGTCAAATGTTTCTCTGCAATATATGTATACAATAATTTAGATTTTTGTAATATTAATTTTTTGTGACATTTCTATCCTTGGTGGGTCATTCAGAAGGAATGGTGCGAGTTGAACAGCTAGTAATATTAATTCATGGCATGGTTTTCATGCAGAATTAAAGTACCTTTAACATAATTCACTGTTACACTTTTTCTACTCTGAAATGCCCCATGTGCTGAAATATGATAATAGCTTGTCTGCCTAACACAGCTTGATTTAACCAGATCTTCTGAGAAGTGTCTAGTGATGCTTGCTTGTTTTTTTCTATACAAAATTGAGGCTGTTTCCCTGACAATGGTCTAGTGAAATTTATATAGAAGTAAAAGATTTGCATGTATACTTTTACAATTACTTTAATTAAAAACAACAACAAAAAACAATTTTCAGAGGTGTGATACACCTGGATAAAAACTGTTCTCCAAAGGCATTATTCTTTCTGTTTGTGACATTGGTGCTTCTTGCAGGGGAACATCAGATCACACTAGATTTTTTAGAAGTAGTATTTTTCAACCAAGTTGCTCTTGACATAGTTTTTTTTTCTGCTGTGTGCAAAGGCATCTAGAACTGTGTAGTTCAGCACTGCAACTGTGACTTCTCATGATAAAGCCCACATCCTGTACCTTTTTCTTTAAGCTAGAAGTCAGTATCCGTTTAATTGGTGATATTTAAAACTTAGAGTAAAGCAGTAATTACCTCAGTAATAAATCTAATCATTACTGTTTCAAAAGAGTTCCAATTGACCTAAATTAATAATAAAGTACCCAGGTTCTTTGCTAACCCTACAGTAATGTGGAATTAAGGAGGAATCAAGTCTCATCAGTATGAAAAGTAATGCATGAGCCTGCCTGATATCTAGGGGGTACAGGCTTCTGCTCTGTAAACCTTTATTCTGCATTTCCCTAGATTTTATTACTTGGTAAATTCAGGTGAGTGGAAATCTAAGGAACTGTGTGTCTCCAGGTGTGCTCAGATAAATGATTACTAAGCCTCATGGAAATTTACCATGAGGATATGTTTCTTTACATGGAAAATGTTAGTTATAATGCAGTGGTTGTAAGGCTGCGGTGTTGGTTTAGTTGTTCTGATAACCATTTGGGGTAAGAAGAAACTCAGTGGCAGATAAGAATGGTGAGCAGTCATAGCTGAACCATATGGCTATTCATTTTTTCCTTTTAGGCAGATGTGTTCTCCTATGGTATAATTCTGTGTGAGATAATAGCAAGAATACAGGCAGATCCAGACTATCTCCCTCGCACAGAGGTAAGTTGCTACCTTTACAAATTTGCAGGGAGGTGATAAGTATGTGGTGATAATGGCTGGCCTTTAGAATTTATAGCACTGCTGCCAAAGATACCATGCATATGGTGTTACATTAAAAAGAGCTTGTAAAAGGCTTTTTTTCTCTTGCGCTGTTATTGGAAGAAGTTCCATTCAAGACGTTTCAACATACAGACTTTATAGAACTACAGTCATTATTGGAAATCCTTTCAGAAACTCCAGACCTGCCCCGAACTGACCAAACGTTGAGGGTGTTGGAGTGACCTTTTGTAGTGATAGCTCACACAAACTTCTTCCCAGTTTACAAACAGAGCACTTTTGGAACTTCGCATCCTTGAAATGGCCCTGCCTTGTGAAAAGAGCAGAAATGATGTTAGCAGGAGCTAAAATAAGTTCATCCTTATTTTTACATGTTGTGCTAAGCATTGTCCATCTAAACTAAAATGAACTAATCGAATGAGATACTTCTATTTTCTTTTCTTGCCTTTTGGCTTAGTCCCATCTGCAAGGCAGCTTTTTGCCTTCCATAGAAGTTTTCTGAATTGTTTACCCACCTCCAGTTCTGAAAATGCTTACGTCTTGGACAGTGGTATATAAGAGATCCTTTTGTTCATCTGCCCTTCGGATCTTCTCAGAGAAGTGCTTCTAAAGAACTGGCTAATTTGGATCACCAGCCTAGTAGTACCATCCACTGAAAAATTGTTCTAATTGGTGAATTTTCAGTACTGTGAAGTTTCTGGTTTTATAGAAGGCTGTTAATTTACACTGAAAATCACTGTGATGAAACATCATAGTATAGGATATTGCTTCCAGATCCACATGGTTAACATTTCAGTGAATTGCAGATGAATCCAGGAAGAAAGTTAGGCTTTGAAGTCAGCTCATTCTCTCGCAGGTATCTTATATAAAATAATCCCCATTGGGAATGTTGCAGTTTGGAGTGTGCATGAAGTTTTTTCAAAATTCTCTGAGTCTACTCAGAGGTGGTGTTCATAATGATTCCTGATAACCAAATAAAGGGACCCCCTGAAAAGAGGATGCTTTGGGCCAGATGGCAGTCCTGATTTATGTCTCTGCTCTCCGTGCTGTGTTCTTGTTTGTACAGAATTTTGGATTAGATTATGATGCCTTCCAGCACATGGTGGGAGACTGTCCCCCTGACTTCCTCCAGCTGGCTTTCAACTGCTGTAATGTGAGTATCTTGAAGGGGAGAGGCCCAAACTGGAGTTTCCTAAATCCCTCTGACTTTCAAAGATTGTGCTTAAAGGGTTTACGAGACAGATTCACCTATGAAAGCAATGTACATATATAACACAATGTCCCTGACAGTTTTTATACCCTTTTCTTTCCCCTTATAAGAGGGTCTGACTCGTGTTTTTGCTGTTCTATGTTCTGTCATACCAAACAAATGGGTCTGGCACACTGAACAGCTTCTTGCAGACTGCTCAGGCTGATCATAACCAGTTGTATGTTATTGACACTGGCTGGCCATCGGGCTGACAAAATCCAGCTGTTATTGTGTACAGACCTACTGAGCTGTGAAGAAAATTTTGGGTTGTTCTCATAAACAGAGGGGACAAAATGGGGACAGGCAAACAAAGAACAGGCTCTAAACTACTGGGAAGTTTTTCTGCTGCTTTATAAAAAGAGAGGTAACCCCCCAAATGTCTAGCCTGTGTTCCAAAAAAAATCTCCAAGCTTGGACCCAGTAATACTGCAGGTAATGTCCAGTCTAGAGTAAGTTTTCTGCTGGTTATTGGAGTAAAGTTGTGATAGTGCTGGATACCTTCATGACTTCTTAGCATGAAAATTACAGGGAAGTCTCTTTTTGTGGGTTATTTCATAACAGATGTTACTATTCCTTTGAAGTAAGAGAACATGAGCTTCCACTGAATTCAGCTGAAGCTGGGAATGTCCAGTTGTCTCACCTGAAGTTGAAACACCTAGGACATTTATTGCACAAAACTCTGCTCAGGACTCCAAAACCAGGCTGTGTTGGAACTAATAATAGCACTGTGTGCTACTGAGTGTTTGCAAGAAAACTCTCAGAGCAGGTTTTTTAAAATTTCTGTTGCTGTTTTTTAGACTTTGTTTTCATGTCAGCGCTGCTGCTGAGAGAAGCAGTCCCCACTATCCATGATTTTAATAATTATTTTTGTCCCAAGCTCTCTCTTTACATGTATTAGTACAAATGTGCATACTGAAGTGGCAAGTGGAGTGAGGGTGAGAATGCATGTTGTGGAAGAGCATAAATTAATGTTGAACATGTTTGTGGGACTTGCACTGAACCAATTGCTTCATCCCTCTAATTTCACCTTAGTACAGTGGAGCTTATTTCACCAGGACAGTGGTATGCCTGACTCATGTTTCTAAAGTGTTGTGACTATGTAAACACTAAAGGGCTTAGGTAGAAGTAGAGTTTAATTGTGGAAATCTGAACTCCCAATTGTATTCCCCAGAAATCTTACAGCATCCAACATACAATCCAAAGCAGTTTTCTACCACAGATGAAATCCAGAGTAAAACTGTACTAATGAAGAATGACTAGTCATTCATGAGAAAAGGGACTTTCTCCTACTGATTATCATCAAATGCTGTCTCCTTCGTAATAAACGTCCTTTGCATGAACTGAGACTGGAAATGACAGTCTTGTGATCAAGACATTAGTATGCTAATTTCAGTGTGGGACATATTGTAACACACTTTCCACTTGCCTAGAGGAAGGAAAAGGTGGCAAATAAATAAGACTTATATTTTTTGAAGCATGTTGTGCTCCAGTAACAAGTGATCTGTGTGATAATTTGCTCTTAGATAAAGACATTTATATAGATTTTCATTATTTAATAGGTGAACAATTAGTGTAACCTGATAAGCTGAGCTAATGTGGAAAGTCTTGGAGTTTTCTACAGCCAGGAAACACATTTTAGGGCAACCTAGGAAAACCAGTGAAAATAGATGTGTATGGGTAGTAAGTTCCTTAGAACATTAGAATTCTTTGGAATTCTTTAATTTGCTGATAAAGAGTGTTTTTTAAAAGAAGAATATGCAAGGAAGTCTGAAACTTATGGCTCCCCCAGCAACTGTAATCCTACTTGCATGAATCATCCATGAACATGCAGAAGACTTACCAGCATGAGCTAAGCTGTGGAGAATTGCAGCCGTGAGGAAGAACCTTCTATTCCATTTGATCAGCAACTAAGTGCTTGGAATGGAAAAGGCAGATACTGCTTTGAGTCACTTTTCCATTGCTGCTGTTGTCTGGATCTTCCCTTGCACTAATAAGATAGAGACCTGTTCTTACTTTCTGCAGCTTGCAGCAACTGTCTAATCTTTTCAAAGATTAGACAAATCTACATTTGTCAGAGTAAAGAATATATGCTTTAGTGTTTTCTCTTGCCCTATCTTTTCAGTGAAACTGGGAAAGCAGAAGATGATGGGTTTTTATGCCAGGCAATTCCATCTGCTGCATTAGGACAACTTCATTTCTGTTTTTGAGTTCCTCGAAGCAAGTGTGATTTTTGTTGTTGCTGTTTTGTTTATCAATGTATCTATGAATTTTCAGCCCTTTATCCCATGTTACTGGAAGGCTTTCTGTCATTGCCAGTCATACCAGTTCTTTTCAGAAAGATCCATCTCATGGGGACCTGCAAGGTAGTATCAGGGAGGTTTCTGGGGTTTCTTGCTTACAAGAACACTGTTTCCTTGACTAGCAGTGATGTCTGAGCTTGTCCGCTCTGAAAAAGCCTTTATAGGGCTGGAGGCAAGAATCGGGTCAAGTGGAATCTCTTTAACAGTGTAATGAGGTTAACTCTCAACTGCTGAATTAGACAGTGCTGCCTACTGTATTTAACCATCTAAAATAAATATATAATACACGTGAAAACTTTGTAACAAACAAAACCCCTCTCATAAGCCCTGAATCTAACAGGTTGCCACCTTTTCTTTTTAAAATGTCTTCATCATAGAATGATAGAATGTTTTCATCTTGATAATTAAATGAGAAGTGTAATAGACATGGACTAGAACAGAGCACTACTTTTCCTCTTGCTTTATTCAGTGGGTTTTTTTGAAATGGCAACGCACTTCTAAAAGCAGTCTTGAGTTTCCCCAGTTCCTTCAAGTTATTCTTCTCTCTGTCAACTCTAGATAGAATAGCATGGAGAAACCCACATGAAACAATTTGATTTCTGTGCTTTCACAGATGGATCCAAAGTTGCGTCCTTCATTTGCTGATATTGTCAAAACACTGGAGGAGATTTTAAACCGCCTGAGAAACGAGGACTCTGAGAGAGACAGAAAGTTTTTGAATATTGACAACAATGAAAGAAAACCCAAAGGTAAATGTCTGCATTTGCACAAAGATTGCTGCAGGCTAATAGCAAAAGAGTGCAGTGTTTTGTATTTTGAGGACTATGATTTCAGATGTGTGGCATTATGTACATGTTATGAATTGTTTTACCCAAAGTCTGAAAATGATTCTGGAGCAGTGGTGCACACTGTGCACTGTAGAGTGTCCTTTGGGAAAGAACAGCTATTTCTTAAGATTCCTCAAAAGGCTGTGCCCACAAGCTCTTGGGGGGAAATTTGGGCTAATTTGGGAATGTAAGCTGCTGAAAGTACATGAAAATTCATAAATTTTGCTTTATCCCTGCTACTCTTAGTGCATATGCACAGTTTCTTTGGTATACACGTAATGCTTGGAAGCTACTTAGATTTCTACAGGAAGAAGAGCAGAGAAGATGCAAGAGTATTACAAAGTACTTTAGAATATAGAGCTGGGGAAGCAAATTTTCTTGGGAATGCTGGCCTCGAAGGGCTTTCTCTAAAGCTGTCTAGTGCCACCTGGTGTGGGGAGCAAATTACAAGCAATTCTTGTGGTAGACATTCTGACTTAGATTTCTTCTATATTAGCAGATTTTGGTGTTGGAAACTTAAAGTATAGTAAAAATATGTATATGTGTATTTTGTGTGTGTGTGTGTATGTGTGTATATATATAAACTGTATATATATTGAAATAACTTTTGTATGTGAAATGGCATGGAGCACATAAATGTGATAGTTCTCTCCTATGTGGAAGGCATCTGAGAGACATAAGTTAAAAGGGAAAAGTGTTCTTTCATTTTCCTGGCATTCTTCCTCTAGAGCACATCTTAGTTTTGCATCTTGCTGGAGAAGTGTTTTGTGCAGTTTTTTAACTTGCCTTTAAGGCACATGCAGTGTGAACTATGATAATATTTAAAGGGAACAGAAGAAATCCATATGTCCTTGTTCTGGAAACTGTCATCAAAAGGAGATTGTTTCGTGATATTCTCTCTCTTGTTACTGCTCTACCATAGCTTTTCAGAGGCACCTTGAGAGCTGGTGACAGCTACATGTTCCAAACACTCAAGAAGTTAGCATTTTTTTCTTAAAGAACTACAATTTTCCTATCCTATTCTTGTGAAAGCTTTTTTCATTTATTTGTATATGTTTGTGCATTCAAATAAATATGCACACATTTTTAAAAAAGCAAACATAAAATTAAACTCCTACTTAATAGAGTCAAACATCTATGTCCTTAGATTCTGTACTGGATAATGTAACCAATGCTGGAATGGAATTAAAGGTCTTCATGGTATCTGGAGGGCATTTATTTTGGTCCTAAGACTTTTCCCATCAGGGTGAAAATGTGACTTATAATTCCTTTTGTACTTGCTCCTTTCTATGGTCAGCATCATCAACAGATCTTGGGCAACATCTGCTGGAAGCCAGGATAATAAATGCAGAAACATGCAAATCGCTCTCCAAGATCACTGTATTCTTTCTCCTGTGTCAGTTTAACAGCAATGAGGAGGTTTGAAGGAGCCCTAAAATACATAGAAAAGTGAAAAAATTTCTTCCTTCCTGTCAGATTTTTTATAATTTCCTTTCTCTTTTTTTCTTATTCTGAAGACAATATTGTCTTACCAAATCAACGTCCCCCATAACATGAGTAGCAAATTTGAAGATAAAATAATACAGAAGCAGTACAGTTTAACTGCCTATGGAAGTAGGATGACACTAACTGTATTTGCATTTGCGCAGTTCTTCAAGATGACTTTTAATTAGTCTGAGGTATGAATAAAGAGGAGAGAATATTTAAAATGCAGTTTTGACTGCCATTGCATGTAAAAGGTCCTGTGGACTGGGCTGCCAATCTCCTAGTTTGAAATTGATACCGCACCAGTGAGAAGAGTACTGTGACCTTGTATACGTGCAGGAACTTGTAAGTAACCAGCAAATGTGTTTGTAGATACTTTGGAAAATCAGAAATGCACCTTTTTCTTTGCAGTTATCGTGAAGACTGTGAGTGAGCAAATGTTCAGGTATACATCTCCTTTAAGCTAAGGGTATTTCTCTTCTTCCACTCAGGGTCAATTGAAAAAGGACCAGGAGTAAAACGATTGAGTTCCCTGGACGATAAGATTCCACCCAAGTCACCCCGACCACGTCGGAATATCTGGTTGTCACGTAGCCAGTCGGATATCTTCTCTCGCAAGCCTTCCAGGAAGATAAATGTGCAGGACCCCTACTATACACCAAACAAAGGATTAGGCCGGAAAGTTAATCCCTTCAGTGCCCGGGAGGACCTCAAGGGTGGAAAGATAAAATTCTTTGACATGCCAAGCAAGTCTGTGATCTCTCTTGTGTTTGACTTGCATTCTCCAGAGGCAGGTGGTTACCTGAAAGCCAGCCAGTCCCAATTCCGGCAGGCATATAGCACAGACTGGCAGGAATTTTCCCTCCTTCCTGGGAGGAGATGCAGATCACTTCCAGTCTCTCCTGAATTGGCACACAAAGAATACGGCCTGTTTAGTGGACTGTCTTCAACCATCAGTAGATGTGATCCCACCCAGCTAAGTGCAGAGGTTCGGCAAAAGCTCCTGAGTAGCAGTAAATACGGTGTGTCAGAGATTCCCCCCTTTCAAGCCAAGCCTCACAGGCCAGAATTTCTTTCTGTACCAGGACAAGAGGAGGATATGGACTGTTCGGATGGGCCAGTGTCCCAGGAGGAAAATGGATTTTACTCTAAGAACACATGTGAGGATCCAGCACAAAATCAACCATTAGTGCTGGCCCAGTCTGAGCCATTATCTTACAAAGGGCTCCCAGTTGAGAATTCATTGAACTCTGAGGAACATTCCTCACAGGTGTTTGCTGGTTGTTTCCCTTCTGAAGAGATGGAGGTGGAAGACAACCTGCTGAAAAATACACTGCTGGAGTCTACAAAGCCTCTGTTCAGCATCCGTCCTTCCACAGAGCTGAGGACAGATGCACAGCCATTCAGGGAGCACGATGGAGATAGCACTGCCCCGTTGTCTCAGACGTCCTCCAACATCTCAGCAAGTGGCAGCACACAGCCAACTTGTGACATATGAAGAGAGGGCTCAAACGGAGCATGTCCTCGAGGGAACCGTTGTTCCCAGTCACTTAAACTCTGTTCTTCAGTAGCGCTATGTTTTGTGCTCGAAGGAGACCCAGCAGATGGTAAAAATGGGCTGTCAAACAGGTAGCTGTGGACAGCATCTGAAGAGACTAATGATTTTAACTATTTTCAAGCTATGCTTATTTCCTCCCTTGATTTGCTTTAGGAGGGGAAACTACTCCAGCCAGAATTCCCACGTGAGCCCCATACCTTACAGAGGTGGTAACAAGAAGTAGGCACCACACAGTTTGACCTGGATTCCAGCATGGAGCATTTTGAGGCCTTAAGTTCCAGGTTGAGTGGAAAGAGTGACACGTAGGTTTTCCCTCTTCCTCTGACTGACCAGCTGCTCTGAACTACTGCAGATTTTGCATTAGCATTCTGCAAGCAGTATATGTGAATCAGAGTCTCTGTTCCAGAAATGGGCACAGATCTTTCAGAGCTGCATTAAGCAGATAGCAATGCTTTCTTGTCCCAGAGCTGCTATGAATGCTGTTGCAGCATTAAACAAGCTCTTCTTTCAAAAGCAGCAAAAACAAAACCCCTCGTGTTGGTTGCAGTCTGCAGGCTGAGTCACATGATAAGTACTTCCCAGTTAACAAAAGGAATCTGTTCCCTGGTGTTTCATTTTGCCATGAGATTTGTTAGAGAAGTGTATTGCATTAGTGTGGGGAAGCAAGATGCAGTGAGCACCACTTCCTTTCTTGCACAGCTCTTAATTTACCTCGACTCAGATGTGGAGAAAGATTTGCCCAGGGAGCAAAAATGGAGCCAGATTCCAGGCACTGTCATTTCTGGGCTTTTTGAGGAACTGCCAGTGGAAGTACCAGTTGTAGTGAGCTTTTGGGCTCTCCTCTCTTAAGACACCGTAATCTATTTCTGCAGAATAGTTAAATATAAGTTCTAGGTGAACAGCTATCACTATGGTAGGAGGGTCACATTCAGACCCCTCTCTTGTAGGACATCCATCTCATTGGTACCACTGCACTAATTATGGTAGTAATGACTTTTGAAAAAGCAGACTCCTTGATGGGGACAAGAATCCCCTGCTCCAGAGAAGCCACCAGCAGTGTTGCAGCCACATGAGAGCTCTTGGATAAGGATAGATAGAAGATTCACAGATGGGCTTTTGAGTTGTCAAACTGAAGAAAAGTAACTTATCCTCTTTTTTTTTTTTTAATTCTGCAGAAAGAAGCTGTTATCTTCTTTGGTTTCTCCTGTCACTGAATAGGTGTTTTTTTTTTTTTTAATGTTTTTCTTCGTTCTACCAACAGATAGATGTAAAAAAAAAAAAAAAAAAAAAAAAAAAAAAAAAAAAAAAAAAGCAGCAGCATCTGCTTTAAAGCTGCTTGCTGGAATCAGCATCAGAGATCCCCAATCTGGGATTTGATGTAGGGGATTCTTGTTCTGTGGTGATATTTGTGCAACATCCTGCCCTTTCTGCTATCGTTGTACACAGTTATGTGGGTTTTGTTTGGTTTAGTATTTTTAACCTATATTATCATTCCTATCTGAGGTATGCATTGCGTGCTCACTGAGTGGGTGATGCAGTAGCTGTGGGGGATTTGGAGTCCAGGATTTCATCCAGGTAGTCTATTATTTCTGCTCTTGTGCAAGGATGGAAAATATAAGCTGGTACTCCCTGGTGAATGCAAGGCTTTTCTTACTCTTCTCCCATCTCAAGGAAAAGATGAGGGAGAAAGCTTATGTTTTTCTGTGTGTTTGTTTGTTTTGTTGGCTGAGTTACTCAGCTTTTCAGAGGTGTAGGTAACTATTCTGCTATAACTGTGACTGTCTTGTGAAATATTTCTGAGCCCAAGCAGTAGTTATCTCTTTGCAATGGCTGCAAATAATTAAATGAGAAACACAATATCCTTGAGTTACTTAGCGCAGTTCATCCTGCGTTACACAGCTATTAGTTTGAAAAAGAAAAGGCCCATCCTGACCAAGATTGCCCTTTTTGGCCCACACCTCTCTGCCCATCAAAGGTGCTGATCTGTAGAGTAGCTTGTGTTGTGTGTCCTGTCTTCTGTGCTGGTGTCTGCAGAGCGCAGAGCAGACAAGGAAGGGCTGGCACTGCATTGTGTCAGTTCCTTTGAGGACAGGGAACCAGTCAACAGAACTCCACTGCCTGCCTGTCTGGTGCCTGCTTTTCCCCCTCCCCCTCCATATATATATTTTTTTTCTTTTATCAAACTGTAATCTTTCAGGAGAGAAATTATCAGCACCAGCTTCTGTTGTCACAAGATGCATTCAGGTGTGTGACTTCAGACAAACAAGCAATAATAAGGAATAGTTTACTTTGGATCACCAGGCTGCAAAGAAGCTGTCCTGCAGCCTCAGCAGCATAGATGTGTGCCTCTGGCTGCTCCATGTGGCTTGTGTTACCCTGCTTGTCAGCACTGACACCTCATTGTGAAGTCTGTAGCCCTCTCTGACAGACTGCAAAATCTGTGTAGTCAGGTATGGGATATCTGTAAGAAACCTGTCACAGTGACCTCGAGTGTTCTCTTACACCACTGGCTCTTAAATGTTTCCCTACCCTCAGTGGCTTTTACAAAGCAGCATGGTTAAAATTTTATTTTCTTAAATGTCTACTCTGGGCACATCTATCAACTTTTCTAGCTCTTTGTTCTGTGATGGAGATGTTGGGAAGAAAAATACCAAGGAAAAACAACTCAGGCCTTTCCTGCATTCTTGGTCCACGTAGGGAAAAAAAGAGGACGTGCATGTGAACTGGAGTAAAAGGCTGTCTTAAAATAGCTAAGTGCTTGCTAAAACCCAGCATTTCCAAGGGTTTGGATGCAGTTGGCACTCACTGTCTTATCCCTTTGGTTGTGCAAAGCTGAATCTAGGTTGCACCTAGCAAATACTCCTAGGTCTTCTGCCCATCTGAGGGTGCTTTTCTACTGGGGGCCATTTTCTGACGGCTACTGATGAACATGAATCTGAATATGCAGTCAGCAAACTCCTTGTTTTTTATAGTGATGTGACAAAGTTTTTTCTTCTGATTGGATTTTATCATGGTTTTTGACTTTCTTGGAGGAGCAATTGCTCTTTTAAAAGACTTTCTACACGTTGCTAGGTTCCCTAAAGAGATCAAAGATGTTTTTAATTCACTTTAAATCTTTCTGTGTTGAGTTCATTTAAATGTCTGTTATAAGCTATTTTTGTTGTGGTTGCAGGTTGATAAAATGCAACTAAGAGAATGCATGTGAATTGCTGCCCCTCAAAAGCAGTGCAGACAAGGGGCTTTAGTAGACTTACACTTGCTGGAAAAGCATCAATGTATTGTGTAACAGAACATTGGTATTTTTTGCCAGTACAACTAAAGACACTTGAATAATTCCTGTTTGCACTTAATGCTATTGTTTATATTGCATGTCACTACATTTCTATGCAAAACAAATAACCTTTTTTTTTTTTGGGAGGAGGGGCAGCCAGATATTTGATTAAGTATGTTTAAAGATCTTTGCAAGATGATCTATTTTCATATTTATGAAGGAGTTTTACGTCTTAATATTTTGCAGACTGTAAATAGCTCAACTTGTAATTAAAGGCTTAGGAGAAAGTTTGTAGCCTGTGTATAATAGTAAGTTAACACTGCCAGAAAAGAAAAATCTTTGCAAAACAATTTTTCTAATATTGTGGATATTTATGAATATGTAAAGAAAGCACGTCTTGTTTTTATGTTGATTGACCTCTTGACTTTTTTTGAGCTGTAGAAATGGTGTATGTTTTATTGGAACTGCAATAAGAAGTAACCAAAGATGAATCCAGTTAAATATTTTCATAATTTTTTCTTGGTCAGGTTTTGTAAACTTTCCCAACTTGCTTTCAAAATAAAATTAAAATCAAGGGTTGAGTCTTGTGATTAAAAAGACAACTTTGGGTTAAAAAAAAAAAAAGCTGATTAAAATGCATACTTGAGCTACAGATGATATTAATGCCTGTCTTGAGATCATACCTTTATTACTTGGTGCTGAGTTATAAATAAGGAAAACTGTCATCCTTATTTGGTCTTATTTCTCTCCTGCATCTTATTGAAATGTCTGTTCAATTCATGACTCAATGCCTTTTTTTCCTGCTCCGCCTTATAACATTCAGAAGAGCAGGCAGTAACTTGTGACCATCAAAGCAAGATGCTTTTGACAGCACTCAGCCTGCAGGGAGCTTGCCATTGTGACTGCTGTGTTCTAGCTCCACAAAATAGCTTCAGTAAGCACAGGAAGCAATGCATCAGGGTTTAAAAGAACCACACCTGGCTTTAAGTCCCACTGATCTTCCCTTATTTAAAAGTTTACAGACCTGCTATAGCTTGGTTCTGCATGCAGTTACCCTTCACTAGAATCTGCTAGCCCAGCATCTCTTTCTCCTTTTTTAACTACAGGAGCAAAGGTCTGACTTATGTTGTAACCAAAATTAAAGTACAAATATTAAGGTGGGACAACTCTCTCAAGGGGGATATGCTCGGTGCCTTTTTTTAAAACAAACAAAAAGCATTTTTTTGTCCCCCTTCAAATTCATTAATAATTATTTCCCGTCTTTCTAGAGTCTTAAGGAATTTCCCTACCAGCAGTGATTGAGAGACTAACACTTGATTGAACGTTAATCATAACATATGCTGAAGAAACAGCCTGCTTTCTTCTGACGGGCATGTTTTTGTAAGGCAGGTTTGACCTTTTTCTCTTTGAAAAAGATCTGTCCTGTCTTAAACCACTAGGTTAAGTGGCAGCAGGTAGTAAGGCTCTATATATGGTAAGGATAAAGACAAGATTTGGGAGGAGGATGTGGCCTCTATCTCCTCTTATGGAGAATCAAAGAATTACCCTATTCATCATCTTCAAGAAGCAATACCCAAGCTAAAGCAGCTATTAGGTGATCTTTCTAGAAATACAAACCTGGTCTGTTTTCCAGTTTTTATTTCAAAACCCTTTCAGTTTAAAGCACTGAACAGAACTTGCTGCCCTGCATGCAGTTGGAGAAGTGCATTTTTCCCCTCTCCAACCTTACCCATGCTTTTACAGTCCAGCTAAGAAACATCAGAAGGAACTCCAATTGAGAGCAATTTAATTGGTCAGAGGTTAAAATGGAGGACAAGAAACTTGCTCCCCTTTAACAACTGTGGGGGGAAAACACCCAGTTCAGTGAGGAGTCTTGTAGCTCTATCCAGTGGCCCAGACCAACTTCATCTTCTGGTTGTGAGCTGTGGAAGATTTAGAAAATGAGCTTTTCACTATTTGAAGTGGCACTGATTTCCCACTGAGGTACAGCTTATTATGACAGTCCGGACACCATGGCTCTGCATCAGTGTCTGTGCTCTTTCGTTTCTTAAGCATCCAGACATAAGCCATAATATAGCCAGTCATGAAGGCATCAAAGCCAGCTCGGTGGGTTCCCACTTGTGAAGATGGCCCCTGGGAGGCATTTTGCTTTCTGGCAGCACATGCTGCATCAGTCTCAGAGACGTCTGGATGATTGGTTGAAATCATTCCAGCAAGGACCTCTGACTTCCCTTCCACTTGGTCACTGTCATGGGCATTTCCCTTGGCAGAAGGGCTCAGAGCAGCAGGTTCTTCAGTGCTCCTCAGATCCTCTTCCTGCCTTCCACCACGTGTACTGGTGTCTGAGCTGCCCTCTGGTTCCATAGCAGTGGAGTTTTTCTCCTCTAGTGGCCTGCCATCAGTGTTGGCAGGTTCATAGCAGCTCTGTTTTTGTGGTGGTTCATCTTCCCCATTCTGAATTAGTTCCATTTCTTTCCCTGAGTTTTCCTGTTCTAATGTCTTTTCAGGTTCTTCTACATTTTTCCGACGCTTCCGCCTTTGTTTCCGTTTCTTCACTTTCTCACAAAACTTATCATCCTCATCAATTATGAGGTCAATGTTATGAGATTGTGGACACTTCACTCCATTTGGACACCAGCCATAGGCCTAGGGAGAAAAAGAGAAGTCTGTAACCCTGAGCCTCCCAGTTAGAGTAACCTATCACTGCAACTTGGAGCAGAGTTAATTATTCCTCTCAACTGAGGGCTTGTGAGGCTGTAGCTGGAGCACTGTGTCCAGTTATGGCACCAGACCACAGGAAAGGCATTGACAAACTGCACTGAGTGCAGAAGGGAGCTGACAAAATATAGTGCACACGATGCAAGGCTAAAGAGGTCCTTGGGTTTGTTCCCACCTGGAAAAGATGAGCCTAAAGGCATGGGGCAGAGCTAATAGCTGGACTTCAGCTACCTAAAGCAGAGGTTATAGAAAAAAATGGAGCCAAACTCTTTCTGAGAAGAGCGCAGGTGAAATGTTAATGGAAAATTCTGACTAAACATCCAAGAAGGTATTTTTCACAATGAGTGGTCAACCACTGGAATGGGGGCCCGAGGGAATTTTGTAATCACTGTCCTTGGTCATACTCAAAAGTCACCAACCAAGGCTCTGAGTAACTCTTGAGTTGGTGGTTTGATGAGAAAGTTCCTGAGGTTTTCTAACTGATGTTGTTCTGTGACAATAATGTGCAGCATCATCTAGAACTCCATTTTCCCCTGAAGTATGTGAAACCAGCTGGGATCAGGTGGGCTCCTTGATAACCTCTGTAGCAGTGCCAGAACTTGAGATGCTGTGGATCACACCACACTACGATTCCAGAAGCTGCAGATAGGTAATATTTTGTATATCTAATCAAGCTACGGGGGAGGAAAGAGGAAGCATTTCTTGCTTAGAAAGCAAGCCAAGGACACTTAGAACTTAAAGCCCTTCCGAGACAGCAATAAAAAAGTCTAGTCAAGACAGCAATGAGTAATGTAATACATGCTAGTTCTCTGTTAGGGCTATATTATGTATTCTTTGAACCTTGGCCTCAAATGCAAACTGTGAAATGTGCTACCTCAGAACAGAGCATATTGTTGCCTTTTCAGTTTCAAAGTCACCTGAAGCTTGAAAGTCTTCCCTGTATTGTGAAGCAGACGAATGGAACCTCCCAGGTGCTTTCCTTCTACTTCCTGCTCTGCCCACATGTGGCTTTCGCTGTGGGGCCAGGTAGGAAGCAGAGATCCATGTTACTTACCGAGAATTTCTCACATACAGGCACCTTATTTGCCTCTCCCTCGCTGTGGCTTGCTTCTTCCAGAGAGCAGTGACGATAGTCGATGTAGCGCGACATGTTGGCAGGGTAGTTGCAGAACTCCACAGAGATGTGCTGGCTGCTGGAGTCCTTCAGCTTGCCGTTCTCTCGCTTGCTGGAACACACAAGAGGATGCAGTTACCGTGGTTAATTTGCCAAAAGCACCCCAGCACAGAGCTGGTACAAACATGCTGCTTTAAGCCAACTCTCAGCTCCTCTCATTTCCTGTTCTTGAGCTCTAGCTTCAGTTTAACAGCTGCTGCAAAGATGGTGCAGGGAATAGAACTTTAAGAAGCAGTTGTTTCTATGCTGATTTAAATGTTGGTTTCTTGTATGTCTAAATACAGGCAGAGACATCAGTGTGTTTTGTGATGTTATGGAAGAAAGAGACACGTGGTGCCCTTCATATTTAACACCAAGCTAAGATGTGTGTTAGTTCTGATACTACTGGACAAAGAGGAAATGCCTGACAACAAAGCAATGCAGACAACAAAGAAATGCTTTCTATCTCAAGAAAAAGCGAGAACTATTATGTCCCAACTGCTTCAGAAGACAACGTAACGAGAACTGTGGGTTCAAACATTAGGAGATCAATTTTAAGAATATCCTCATCCTGTCAGAATAAAATATTCTCATGCCTGAGAACAGCCATATTGAACATTCTGAGGCATGTCGAAATAGTATTTCTTGATGCAAAACAGTCACTAAAAATATCATTTCTGCACAGAGTGTGACTTTGGCTTAATAGATTCAGGTGGCTGTATCACTGCCTGGGTCTTTAGATTGTACAGCAGGAGCAGAACCAGAAGCCACACAGCTGCTGAAAGACACCTTCGAGGTGCTGAGCGCAGGAAGCAAGACTCTTCAACTGCACCGTCCCTTTACAAAGCTGTCACAGCTGGCAGATTCTGCAGGTACAGCCCTGCTCTCTAGCCAAATTTTAAGGGTGAACCTGCTCAGTTCAGCACGTATTCCTGCTTATATCCCTGTGGCAATGCTGGACCACAGCCATGCAGTGAATTAATTTTCAGTTAAATGACGTTAAACTACCGCCAGCAGAAGACTGAAATCTTTCTGCTGCTGCCCTCTGTACAGAGCAGATTACAAGATGCACCCTTACCTACCCAGCCTAGAACTGGGAAGCACTAAAGAGCACCTTTCTTCAGCACTGGCACAATACAAAGACATACGTCCTGTGTCTGGAAAAAGAAACCAAACCGACTCCCTTGTCTTTTTGTCCTGGAGCTTTAAATAGCAGTGTGCCACTCACCACTTCTTGTAAGCATATTCCAAGTAGGATGCAACAAAGCGGGTCTCAAACTCTGAAGCATATTTAGTGTCATATATTCCTGCTGGGAACATTTCAGAGAGATCAGAGGTGAAGGTGCCAAGACTGTCTGGGAGATGAGCATAGAAGCACTGGTACAAGAAGACGAGATCAATCAGGCCGTTATGGAGGATGAGAGGCTTCTTTGCTCGTATGAGTTCCAGGAAAAAAGTCCGAACGCTCTGGATCTGGCTCTCATTGCCCTAGAAGAAGAATTAGTCATCAAGTCTTTACACATTGAGGACTTCTGGTGCAAGGGCAAGTCAGAGCTTGTTACAGTAGAACACAACATAGAACCATGCTGTGCTGTGACCAAGGAAATGCCCACGTAGTTGGAGAAGCAGCTGCAACAAGTGATGAAAAACAACAGGGAGGAGACAGGGCTGTGCTGCCTCCTGTTCCCACACAGCGGCTGGGAGCCAGAAGCCGCAGGGGAATGCAGCTCATAGCAGAGCAAGCTGAGATGAATGAGGGCATCGGCCCTGGAGCATGGATTCACAGGAAGGACGAGGCAGTGATTCTGTACCTTGTCGTTGCCCTTGTGGTAGGGGATCCCCTGGGAGTACTGCTTATTGAAGTCAAAGCCGTGCTGCACCAGGAACTGCACCGACTGTGGCTCGACGACGTAATCCTCCGTGCAGAGCAGCGTCAGGTTGTAGATCTGGCAGAGGAACGTGTTCTCGGACTGCGGAACAAGATCAGAACCGGGACCTCAGAGCTGGGGATGACAGGAACCGGGCCGAGCCGCGGGGAGCTGCCGTTACCTTCTCCGGGAGTTGTTTGAAGCAAGCGATGCCGAGAGACAGGACTGAGCGCGTCCGGGCGGCGTTGCAGACGGCTTTGTAGCGCTCGTCGATGCACCTACCGGAGACACAACCGCTGAGGCGCCCCGAGTCCGCGGAACCGACCCCTCCGCGCTCTCCGCAACGACGACCGGACGGCGGGGACCCGGCAGCCGCCCCGCCCCCCAACCCCGCGGGCACTCACGGGCTCAGCAGCGCCTTCCTGGCCCCCAGACCGCTCAGCTCCTGCGGAAAAACGGCGCTCAGCGGCACGGCCCGGCCGCGAACCGCTTACTGCAACCCCGTCCGCGCCCATCTCACCGTGTCCACGGCGATGAAGGTGGCGGTGCGCAGCGCCAGCACCATGGAGGGCCACAGCTCCGTGAAGTTGTCGCTCTGCACGTCCACCACCGGCACCCGACCCCGCGCCATGGCCGCCGCTCCCCCACGCGCCGCCCCGGGGCCTGCCTCGCCGGGCTGCCCCGCGCCTGCCCGCTTCCACCGCGCACCCCGCTCGGCCCCGAGCCGCGCACTGACGGCCTGCGGAGGCGGCCTCGAAATCTGGTAGCTTATTGCGTTTTTTTCTTGCTGCTCGAAGCCCGGTTTCTGATGGAATTTCCATTTTTAAGCAAGCGGGCGTTTAGCGCGGGCGGCTCCTGCGGGCCTTCTGGTGCCGCCGCTGTGACTGGCGGGAGAACAGGCGGGGAAAACTGGTTGGCTCCGATGCGCGGCCAGGACCCGCCCCTTCCCGGGCTCTCCTGAAGGGAGGGGCGAACCCGCTCCCCTCACGCCGCGCTGCGATTGGCTCAGGCGTGGAAGGCGGATCCGCGCCGCCCGCTCTGATTTGTCCTTGAGAAGCGACGGGGCGCGGGAGGGGAAGGGAAACATTTTCCCGGGAAAAGCGCGTGTGTGTCCCGCGGCTCCCAGCCATGAGCCGCCTGCGGGCGGCGGCCGCCCGGGGGCTGCGGCGGCAGCGGCGAGGAAGCGGCAGCGCGGCCCCGACTGGAGGGGGAAGCAGGAAGGGCGCGTCGCTCCGTGAAGGTGCGGGCGGGGAGCACGCAGGGCCGGGCCTGGGTAGCCCCGCAGCCCCTGCTGTGACCCGACCCCCCGTGCCGCTCTCACGGCAGGGGCTCCCGGTCGACCACATGCGCTGCATCTCTTCGGTGACCCCGTCGAGATCGATGCCCTACGTGGCCGCCTGCTCACCTGGTATGACAAAAGCCGGCGGGACCTTCCTTGGAGGACGCTGGTAAGGGCAGTGTGAACAATTTTATGTTGTATACGGATCTCCTTGTAGCGAATGCTGTGTTTCCTTGTCTCTCACAGTCCACTTCATCCCCTTTCAGGCTGCAGCTGAGCCGGATGCCGATAGGCGGGCGTATGCAGGTGAGGAACAGGAGTGGCTGCATCCCATATATTGCTGCCTGACACAGGGTACAGCGTAGCCTTGTGAAGGTTGTGGCTTTAGTGCTGTTCCTGTAAACAGCTGCTTGGACTCCTGGTACATCTGAAAGGCAACTTTGGGCCTGAGAGAAATCCTCTGGGGATGAGATGGGGAGGAGGGCTGCTGGGTTGGGTGCTGCTGCAGTTCTTGCAGTCAGCACCATGGTGACTGGGGCACATGCTGTGAGAAGTGACATTGGCACCTTTGTACTGATCCCTATGTGCTCCCGGCAGTGTGGGTGTCTGAGATCATGCTTCAGCAGACACAAGTGGCCACGGTGATTGACTATTACAACCGCTGGATGCAGGTGACTGTTCCTTATGCAGTCCCCCCCAAACCTCCTGCTTTGGAGGCTTTACTCTCTGCCTGTGGCAGACTCCCATCTGCAGCACTCGTCTGTCCTCATCCTGAACTTGTCACTTCCCTCTTCTAGAAGTGGCCAACACTGCAAGCGCTGGCAGCAGCATCGCTAGAGGTGAGCACTGTGATACCGAGTGCAGCCCTCACTGCACTCCCCACATCCCCCTAATGCTGTGTCTTGTGGGGCAGGAGGTGAATGAGCTGTGGGCAGGACTCGGCTACTACTCACGAGGAAAGCGTCTGCAGGAGGCAGCAAGGAAGGTGCTGGAGGCATTTCCTAAGCAATCTGTACCCCATGGGTGGCTGTTGGTTCATGCCTGCTCTGCCTCGCTGTAGCTGAGCTGGTTGCACGGGGCCATGGAGGCTGGGCACCCTCCTTATCACATGTACAGACTGTGTCTGCTCAGCTGACATTGGCTGCCCTGTTGCAGGTGGTGTCAGAGCTGGCCGGCCGCATGCCCAGGACAGCCGAAGACCTGCAGAGGCTGCTGCCAGGAGTGGGTCGATACACAGCAGGAGCCATTGCTTCCATCTCATTCGGACAGGTGAGAGCTGTCCAGAGGGAATATAGCTCCTGTTATTGCTGTCTCCCTGCCCCTTACCTGCACCTTGCGGTTTGCTGATCCCTACTCCTACTTCAGGCTACCGGTGTCGTGGATGGGAATGTGATCCGTGTGCTGTGCCGCCTGCGGTGCATCGGTGCTGACACCAGCAGCCTGGCTGTCATTGACTGCCTCTGGTGAGGAGAGCTGTGCTGGTGGCGGCTGTGCTCGTGTGTTGGTGGCTGAGGGCAGGATCGTTTAGGAGCCATGGAGAGCTGAGCTGAAAGGGAGAGGCTGGAGGAGCAGGAGCTTTAGGGGCTCATGGGGGTCATGGGCTCAGGAGGCAAGCGGAGGTCATGAGGTTCCTGCATGCAGAACCCCATGTCACTCACAGTCATCTCTCCTAGGAACATGGCCAACACCCTGGTGGATAAGAGCCGCCCGGGGGACTTTAACCAAGCTCTGATGGAGCTGGGGGCAACTGTATGCACACCCAAATCCCCACTGTGCAGGGAGTGCCCAGTGAAGGAGCACTGCCGTGCCTGGCGTAGGGTAAGAATGGCCCTCAAACCCATCCCTTGACAGTCTATGGGTGTCAGAGGCCTCTAGCTGTCCCTGTAGGGGTGACAGAAGGTTCCCCAAACCTCCTCTGAAACATCAAGCAAGACTTGGCAGAGTACTGAGTCTTGCATTCTTACCTGGTGCCAGCCCTGGGGAGTCACTGTATGTGGAGATGGGGTTGGACGTGCTGTTGTCCCACACAGGTGGAGAAGGAGCTGGCTTCTGCCTCTCAGAAGCTGTTTGGAAAGACCACCCTGGTGCCTGATGTTGAGGACTGTGGTGAGCATCTGGGTTGGTTGCTGTGGCAGCTCTGCATTTGGGCTGTGATTTGACTGTTGCATTGATGTTTGCAGGGATTGGGGACTGTCTGTTGTGCCTTCCTGCTGCTGAGCTGTGGGACAGCAGCCTGGGGGTCACCAACTTCCCCCGCAAAGCAGCAAAGAAGCAGCCACGAGTGGAGCGGACAGCCACATGTGTGCTGGAGCGGAGGGGCCACCTTGGGGTCCCTGAGTATCTCATTGTGCAGAGACCCAGCTCAGGTATGGGGCCAGGCGGGAGCAGGGCACAGGCACTGAATGGTGCTGGGATGGAGCTGTGGGATGGCATGTTCTCCTGGGGTGCAGAAAAGAGCCTCCTGGACTGTGATGGGCCTCAGCACCCCCAACTCACACCCCTGCTTTGCCCTCTCACAGGGCTCCTGGCTGGGCTCTGGGAGTTCCCCAGCTTCCCACTGGCTCCGGGCCTGCAGGAGGAGCAGCAGAAGGAAGTGCTGGCTGATCACCTGCAGGCATGGACAAGGCAGCCCTTGCAGACACAGAGTTTGTGCTTCGTCGGAGAGGTGAGCGTGGGGCCAGGCACTGTGTGCTGTGCTATGGGGACACAGAGGCAGGGGCCCCGTTCCCCGGTGTCACCGTTCTCAAGCCCTGCCTGCATGCTGCCTATCACGGTGTATTCTTGTTCTCTCACAGGTTGTCCACATCTTCTCTCACATTCACCAGACATATGTGGTCTACTCACTGTGCCTGGATGGGGATCTGGTCCTGGACACTGCCTTGTTCCCATCCCGCTGGGTGACAGAGGAGGAATTCCGTGCCTCGGCTGTGTCCACTGCCATGAAGAAGGTACTAGGGGGACCTGGGATGTTCCCTTCTCTTGAGGTGCTGAGTGTGCCCCTGGCATCCTCCCAGCTGCTGTGGGGCAATCCCAGCTTGGGGACATAAGTCCCATCCATTTCTGAGCACTCTCATGCTTTCTTTAGGTGCTAAAGGCGCGGGAGACTCAGCGTGGGGCGCAGAGCGGCCGTGCCAAGGTGGGCAGCACAGCAGTGTGTGCAGGGCTGCCCTGTGCTGTGCTGGAGCACAAGGACTTGGGGCTGCACTGGGAGCTCCCCAGCCCGGAGCAGGGAGATATGCCTGGCCCGCTCACTCCATGGTTCCCCTAATTTTAGCCCCCCCTTTCCACACCGTTGATGCCCCAGAGGTGTCCCTGGGCACCCTTGGGGCTTGGCTCAGCCCCAGCATCTGTCCTGCAGGGCTCCAAGCGGAAGCGGGAGTCAAAGCTGGGGGCAGCAGGCAGCACCCCCACAGGGATTCAGCTCTCCCTGCGCGCCTTCCTCCAGGCACAGACCACTCCGTGATCAAACCTTTGGCTGCTGACACCAGCAGGTCCTGTGCTGTGGTGAGTCCTGTGTGGGGCAGCTGCAGGTCCCCCCGTGCCCCTACAGTGATCACTGTGCCTTCTTCCAGCCCCACAGCTGTCAGCACATCACCACCTTCCCCAGTGTATCCCCCTGTGGATACATGCTGTACAAGGGGCTGGTGCGGTGCTGGATGCGACCCAGAGCTGGGCTCACTCCCCTGCCCTGGGTATGGGGTTACTTGGCCTGGTCATGGGGTTTCTCTGGCAAGAAGAAAGCAAGAAGGATGTGGCCACATTCCCATCATTCACGCATGCCTTGAGCATCGGCCAGCAGCCAGTGACTGTGGTGCTGTTGTACCCTCACATCCATATTCCCATAGCCCTTTTTATGTTTCTTTTTGCTAAATGTGAGCCATGGGGTTTTTTAATAAATCTTCTAAGGGTCTCTTTTTTTATTATCTTTTTTCTTGAAGTGACTTTCTGCCTCCATTGCAGCACAGCATTAAGCTGGGGCTGCCAGTGGTTGAACATGAGGATGGCCAGCAGGATGCTTGTGCCTGGGCTGGGAAAGCAACGCAGTGGTCCCTGTGGTACTGCACCCATGCATATGGCTCAGTGCTAACAGCAGGTGCCAGCCCTGCTGTCTGGGATTCCCTATGGCCTTGGGGTGCTCTGAAGGGTAGGTGGCTCCAGCCTAAGGGATGACCCACCCTGGGCAGTGGAAAGGGTCTGTTTGTCCTTACCCTGGCAAATCTTAAGCAGAAGGAGAAAAAAACCCACAGCAGTTATTTCAGGTTAATTCTTTAATTTAGGTGATGAAGGGGCAGTCACTTGCCCTGTGGTGCCTTGGATGATGTCTGCTAGTAAGCAGCCATGTCTGTAGTGCTCTCCTTGTCTCCCACAGTGAAGTTGTGGCAGTGCCAGCAATGTCCTCAGCCGTATGCTTCAGGTACAACTTTCATTAGATTCAGGTGAAATCAAGGCAGGAGGTCCTTCACATCTGGTTAAGGAGGAGAAAGCCCTCTCCATCTCCCCTGGGGGCTGCTCAGAGCTCCCAGAACCTATTTCTGAGCACTGTGCTGCAGCACTGGAGCGTGTCTGGGTTGAGTGCCTTGGACCGTATTGCTGTGCCACGGCTATCGTTTGGTATTTCTGCAGTGTATTGCCCCAGGGTTGGGACAGAGAGAAGGGACACTGCCAGCCTCTACTGCCTCTGGTCCATATAGACCTGCACAGCTTTCCACAGCGCCTGTATGTTGCCTTCCCCAAAGCCAGGAGCTCCGTGTCGCTCTATGAGCTCCAGAAAGAAGGTCTCCTCGGAGAAGAGGGGATGGGTGAAGATCTGCATCAAGTAACTCTGTGCAGGGCTTACCCCAGCACTGCTGCCCAGCTGCCCGCTGTCCCCATGCACGGCGGTGTCCAGCAGGATGCCCAGCTCTGCCAGCGTGCAGGGATCCTGCCCGGCACCCCGCACCTCCTCCTCCTTGCCCCCCTGACTGTAATAGGCAGCAGGGGGGGTGAAAAACCGCACGCCCGCCCTCTGCAGGGCTCTGGTGGCTGACACGATGTCAGGCGTGCGCAGACCCACGTGCTGGATGCCGGCCCCACCGTGCTGCTCCAGGAAGGTGTCCACTTGGTTTGGGATGGATTCGGAAAGCGACTCGGCAAGGACGAGCTTGCAGCCGCAACCCTGGGAGCTCTGCAGGGCGCGGAGGAGCATGCCGGCCCCGTGCCCACCCAGCACAAAGCCCTGCGCCGGCTGCTGCCGTGGGCTCAGCGAGAAGTGCCGAAAGCCGAAGCAGAGCTGGTACCACTCCAGAGCAGCCTGCGTGCCGCCCCGCGGGCACACGTAGGTGATGTGGTCGAAGTGGGAGATCTCCACGCCGTCCCCAGGGGGTGCTCCCCGTATAGGCTGGAAGCCGGGCAGGAAGGGCCCCCGGTAGCGGGAGCGGTCCAGCAGCGTGTGGCTGATGTTGCCCACGGCGGAGCTCACCACGCCGTAGGTGACAGAGCCGCGCTCATCTCTCACCTCAATGGGGGGCACGGGCAGGGTGCAGCCCCGGCTCTGCAGCTGCGCGCACAGCCCCGGCACGTCATCCACCTCCAGGCAGACGTTGGAGGCCGTGCCCAGGGTGGGACGGGGGTCCACGTCGTAGAGGAAATCGTGGTTGGAGATGCCGGCCGGCGCCAGGCGCTGGTTGAGGAGGAAGACGGCAGCGCCCCGGCGCAGCGCCAGCTGCCTCACACGCGGTGTCTCCCGCACGGCCACGGGCTGGAAGCGGAAAGCGGCAGCCAGGTCCTGTGCGCAGCCCTGCCCGTAGGGCACGTGGAGGGACAGGAAGCACGGGCGGCTCAGCGAGGCGGCCATCGCCGGGCATCCTGTAGGGGAGACATTGAGGTCAAGGGAGGGCTCGCTGTCGGGGGAAGGAGCTGTGTCCCCATTCTGCGCAGACCCTAGTGCGTGCACACAAACGTGTGTTTTAAATCAGTGTCTCTGAGGCGCTTTCCGGCTGCAAGGGGCCGCCGAGGACAGTGCCATCCCCATAACCTTTTGGGGCTCACTTTGCTCCCCCGTCCCTTAACATGTTGGGCCGCAGCCCAACATGCTCCCGCATTGTCCTCGAGGTGATGTTTGCAACAGGGACTGGCGTTTGGGTTGGGGGCGATCCCGCACGCAATGGGCAGACTGGGGAGCACGAGGCGGCTCTGCATCCGAAACGGTCCCGTACTGCCCTGGTGTGTCCGCCAGCCGTGCACCGCAGTAACCCCCGCCGCCGAGGCCAGCGCAGAGCTCCCGCAGCGGCACGGGGCCGTGCTGACCTTGTCCTAAAGCCACGCGGGGTGACGGGCACGGAGCGCTGCGGGGACGGAGCCCCCAGCCCCGGGATGAGCCCCCCGCCCCGCGCCCCGCTCCCACCGCCTCTCCCCGCACGCCGGCTCACCGGGCTCCGGGCACGCCGAGCGCGGGGCACGCCGGGCCGGGTCCGCCCCGGGCAGCGCTGGGGGCGGTGCGGAGCGGCGCGGCGGGTGGGACCGCTCGGCTGTACCTCCTCCCAGCCCCGCGGTGCCCCGGCGGCCCGTTGCCCCCTGCCCTTATTTGGGGCCCCGTTCCGGCCCTGTTCTCGATGTGCAGTTCCCACACTGCTGTCCCCGCTCTGTTTATGGCTGCTGCCCTTCCCTGGCTTATCATGTTTTTGTACAGATCCCCGAGGCGATAAACTGCTCAAATATTTGTGGAGATGTCCGTGTGGGGCCAACGTAGTGTTTTTTGGGGGAAGGTCCCCCAGCTCTTTAGGCCGTCACAACCTATCGGTGTGGGGCTGGGCAGGAGGACAGGGGGACCCTGGCAGCCCTGGGTGCAAAACGTGGCACCGCACATCTAGGTGGCACCCAGGATGCAGGGCATGGATTTTGGGGATGTTGTGGTCCCAGATGGGAGAGCCAGACCCTTGGCACTGCTGCCCAGCCCTGTCTGGCATGACGTGGCTGCAGGGCTGCGTGCCCAGCTCTTCCCCGAGCACCAGGCACCGCTTTGTCCCAGCACAACTCAGAGCCTCAATGGGGACAGAGGCGGCCTTGTTGCTGTCCCCAGGCAGACGGTGGTGAATGGGGAGCGCTTCTCCTCCTCCTCCTACTGGGCGGAGAGAGTGGTCAGCAGATAAAAGGGAGGCAGGGGCCAGCTGGGTGCTGCCCGGAGCAGAGCGAGGTCCAGCCGGAGGACAGCAGTGAAGAGTGCGGTATTGAGGGCTCTTTCTCATGGGGGAGAGGGCTGGTTTTGGGGTCATCCTTCCTACCAGCTCACTGACGGGTTGTTCCTCACTGTCCTGTGTCCCCTCTTCCCATCGAATTTGCAGGGAGGGGGCACTCCATGGGGTGGGAAGGGCTGTGGGGCAGTGGGATGAAAGGGGCATTGGGTGGATCCTGAGGGTATTGGGGCTAAGGGTCTGCGCACCCCAAAGCTCTTGGTAGGACAAGAGGACCTTCAAGGTGGCCTCAAGGTTAAACCATCCCTGCCCCTGTGGCCACGGTACAGGGCTCCCAAAACCAACCCTGGTTCTGGGGTCAGCAATGCAGCGTGGGTCCCTGGGGAAGGCAGGACATGGGGGCACTGACCTCCATCCCCTGCAGCTCACCCCCGGTGCCGGGATGGGGCCGCTGCTGCTGGCGTTGGCCTCCTGCCTGGGGCTGGCCATGGCCTCCGACGGGGCCACCAACGGCAGCCGGCTGTGCCGCGAGGCCCCGGAGTGGCGGATCAATGGCTCCAGCCCCATGGAGGGCACGGCGGGGCAGGTGACAGTGGTGGCCCTGCTGAAGGCCAGCTGACACTTCTGCCTGCAGCAAGCCCGCAGGTGAGGCCTGCCCCGCTCCACCCTGCCACCATCTTGGGTCACGGCATGGCGGCCACGCTCAGTGCGCCCTTCCCCACAGCCTCGGGGCCCTGCGGGAGCGGCTGGGGCAGCAGGGTGTGAGCGATGTCCGCTATATGATCATCAACGAGCAGGCCCCGCTGTCCCGCGCCATGTTCGGGGAGCTGCAGCGCCACGCCCCGCCGGGCGTCCCCGTCCTCCAGCAGCAGCCACACGAGCCTGATGTGTGGCAGCTGCTGGGGGGTGACAAAGATGACTTCCTCGTCTACGACCGGTGAGCTCCTGTCCCGGGGTGCATACTGGGAGGTGACGTGGCGCTGGGAGGGTTCCCTGTCGGGAGGGTGATGTGGGGTTGAGGCACCCAGCCGCCCCCACAGCCCATCCTCGCTCTGCCCTAGCTGCGGCCGCCTGGCCTTCCACATCCAGCTGCCCTACAGCTTCCTGCACCTGCCCTACGTCGAATCCGCCATCCGCTTCACCCACCGCAAGGACTTCTGTGGGAACTGCTCCCTCTACACCAACAGCACCCAGGAGGTACGGGGCCGCAGGGGCCGTGGGTTGGGCTCTACACTGCGTGGCTTTGTGCTGGGACTGTGACGTCCCTGCCGAGGGTCCTGATGGATAGCCATAGCACACCAGTCCTTGTGTTGTTTTCCCTAGGCCAACAGTACCACGGAGGTCCCTACAACCCCAACCCCGCTTCCCGAACAGGAAGAGAAGGAGTCCGAGACCCCCGCCCACCACCAACCCAACCATCTCCATCCTCACCACCATGCGGCTGGCAGCAGGACAGCCCCAGAGCCCAGCGGGGACCACAGACCTGCTCACGCTCACCACCACCATGGAGCCCATGGCCAACTCCATCCCAAGGGGCAGACGCCAGAGGGACACAATCCCTAATCTGGGCAGAGCCCATAGCGTGCACACCGTGCTGGCTCGCTTCCCAGAGGCATCGAAAGGCTTGCTTTGTGCTGCTGGCCACAAGCAGCATTGATATGCAGCCCCCTTCACGTGGGTCACGCTTCCACCCAGTGTCCAGGGATGGAAATCCCCCTCTGGCACCCAGAGGTGCTGACCTTTTGGCCCTGAGACTCAGTTCTACCCCTTCTTCCTCTGCTGCTGCCTCTCTGTGCTCAATGATTCCTGTGGTGCAAACCAGGACCTCCTTGGTCACCGCAGGCTGACACCGCACGGAGCAGCGGGGCAGGGATTGAAGGGGCAGAACTGGGACCCATGGGTGCACCCGGAGCGCCAGGGTGAGCCTGGAGGAGGGGAGTGCTGGCAGGGGTCATCGCTCCCTGCGTCCCAACCTTCCCACCCTGTGCACGGGTATGTGCAGTGGTGGTGGGTGGCCGCAAGATGGTGGCCGTGTCCCCTCTCAGAAAATAGGGGCTGCCTTCAGAGCCCGCAGCTCTGGGAGGAGGACGTGGGTGGGGGTCCTGGGGTGAAGTGGACATCCAGATGATGAATAAAGCCTCTGTGAAGTGAACCCTACCTGGCCTGGCCTTTGGGGTGTTCTTTCTCCAAGTGGGTGGAGGTCCATGGGGCTTCCTACCAGCACAAGAATCATAGAATCAACAATGCTGGAATCCAGTCCACCTTCCCACCTTTCCCACCTACCACCAAAATTTCCACACTAAACCATGTCCCTTAGTACGACACCTGATTTGGGACTTAGGAAGGGGTTTTGGGTCCTACACGGGCCCCATAAAGCAGCGCCCAGTGGAGATTTGCATTCCCCCAGCCCTGCACCTTGCCCCCCGCCTGCCCCAGCCCCACAGTCCATCCCATCCTGCACAGCTCTGCACAGAACCCTCACCCCTCCACCCCCGCTCTGCCTGAGCTGGGAGCAAAGGGATGGCTTTTCCACTTATGTGGCTCCAGGTGGGGGTCAGAAGTTGCTCCCATGGAGATGATTTGGGTCAGGTTGGATGGGATTGGCGTGTGAGGTCCCACAGGACCTTGCTCCCTGGCTCCATTTCCTCCTCTTCCTCCTCACCCTTCCTCCTCTACCTGCTCCCAGCACCCACAAGGGCACCTCTGTCTGCTGCTCCGCCATCAGTATCAAGGTTATTTTCTTCTTCTGGCAGCTGCTGTAATTGAAACAAAGCAGGCCGAGCCTCACGGGCTCCGCTTCTCTCGCTCATTTTGCCGGTGCTGCTGAGACAACCAATTCATCTTATCGATGCTGCTCGGCCTCTTTTCCACTAGAGCCAGGCAGAGCCTTTTCCTTACTGCAGACATCCCAGGCAGCAGCAAAGCTCTTTTCCTGCCGAGCTTTGGGCTGGGAACAGAGTATTTTGGAGGGGTTCAACGGGCTCTTTACATTGGTGACACTTTGGGGTGGATGCTGCGGTTCCCTGGTGCCCATAGCTGTGCCACCACCCCAGAGGAGGACGCACCGCTGTACCCTGCTGTCCATGCCTGGTCACCAGGTCAACCCACTGCCTCGGCCCCGTGTGCTGATCCAGGCAGATCTTCTCAGGAAGAGTGGGAACAGCCAGTCCTAATGTCAACAGAGGCCTCTTGTGCAGCGATGCTGTGTCAAGAAGAGGAATGGGTCCCTCCTCCTCCGCCCATTCATCTGGCAGCCGGGGGCTGGCGCGCCGCCAAGCCAGGCTGCTTTGGAAACATTTCATTGAGGAGGCAGCTGAGCCGAGGAAAACAGAATGAAAATACACAGAGAGATCACTGTTGTTAGGCAAAATAAATGCAGGCGGCTGCGTTTCTGTCCCCCAAGTCCAGCCCAGCCTGGCCTCCGTCGCTTCTGGGGACTGCACAGGGCAGGGCAGCCATGTGAGTCCCCCTGGGCTGGGAGCTGGGGTGGTGATGGACCCAGTGGGTGGGCTTGTGCTCATCTCAGTGTGGTGCTGCACCAGGAGTCAGGACAGGTGCAGAGCAATGCAGGGCACGTTTCTGAGCACAGGTGGTGTGAGAGCCACCGGCCCACACCTGGCCTGGGACCTCAGCACACCTGTGGGCAAAGGAGAGGGGCCTTCTGTGCAGGCATTTCTTTCCAGAGCGCACAGACAGCTGCAGTCACATCTGAAGGAGGTCCCTGAGGTTGCGGGTGTGGGGAGGTTTCACAGAACAGCTGGATGGCGAAAACTGACTGTGTTGGAGTCCTGCTGGAAGAGGAGCGCAGCAATAACTCAGCGCTAATGAGTCAGCAGAGAACCCACGTGGGATTCCAACAGTTTGATGGCAAAAGGTTCCAGCTCCATTCGACACTTTGCTGGAGGCCTCACCAGGCAATGGAGAACCTAAAAATAGGGCTCAGCCCTATGAGCAACCACCCCAAGGCATCAGCAACCACCCCAAGGCATCAGCAACCACCCCAAGGCATCACTCCCCTTGCTTATAAAGCCAATTGTTTTGTAAAGGAGGGTCTCAGCTCCTCCCTGGACATCAGATCCACAGGGAAGCTGAGGGACAAATATCCCAGGCAACAGCCCCTGGGCGCCTGGCTGTGAAAGCAACGTCAGAGAGGCATGGGAGCACCCTAGGGAGGGAAAAACACACAGGGAAAAGCAGCACTTGGTCAGGAATCCTCTTAACCAGCCATCACCTGGAACGAGGTGGGTGAGGTGGCCTGTGAGCCTCAGCCTTCAGGGAACACCTCCCGACCTTCATCGGTCGCAGTGTGGCTCCTCTGAAACGGAGCTGCGGGCGCTGCTGCAGTCCCTGCCGAGAGCTGGCTGCTTCCTTCCCAGCCCTGGGAAGGGGACCTTGGGCACTGAAGAATGACAGAGGGAGGAAACGGAGGTTTCCGATATTCACTGTTCCCGAAGGGGCTGTCACTTGGAATTAGATGGGACAAAGGATTTATAGGGAGAGTATTTCTGGGGGATTCAAGGGACGGTGTCCCACCGGGCACGGGAACGACCCGCGCCGCTCTCGGGGAACGACAGCGCGCAAAGATACTGCAGGGACGTGCGGGAGCGCATCTTTCCCACGAGCGGACCCAGCCACCCAGGAAGGGCAAAGCGCTGCGCCGGCCCCGCCGCTGGCAACGGCCCTTCTCCGGGCGGCACGGGGGCCGGCGGGGCTGCGGGGGGCTGCGGCGGGGCCCGCCCCGTCGGAGGGCGGCTCGGGGCCGGCGGGACCACCCCCTCCAGTCTCCACCCCCGGTTCCCCCTCGCCTCCTCCCCGTCTCTCCTCCCCTCGCCCGGCTCAGTCGGTCGCAGCCATGGCGGAGGGAGGAGAGGGAGAGGAGCTGCTCCGCCCGCCGCTGCCCGCCGGCGCTCCGGGCCCCAAGCGCCTGTGCTCCCGGACGTGCCCGGCGGGGGGCACCGGGGCCGCGCACCCCCGGCCCGGAGCGGCGGGGGCCGGCGCGGGGCCGGGCGCGGGGGGCAGCGGAGCCCCGGCGGCGTCGGCCGGCTGCTGCCCCGCGGCGGGGGCTGCGGCGGGGCCGGCGGGAGCGGCGGCGTCGGGGGCGGCGGCGGCGGTGTCTGCGGCGTCGGGGGGCGGCGGCGGGGCGGGGGGCTGCCTGCTGCAGCCGGAGTCGCTGCTGGACGCGGCGGCCAAGCGGGTGGCGGGGAGCTGGGCCTTCGAGAGGGTGGAGGGCCGCTTCCAGCGCATCCCGGAGCCCGTCCAACGCCGCATCGTGTATTGGAGCTTCCCCCGCAGCGAGCGCCAGATCTGCATGTACTCCAGCTTCCAGCCCGGCCGCGCCGCCGCCGGCACCGCCTCTCCCTCCGCCGCCTCCGGCTCCGGCGCGGCCGTCACCGGGGGGGGACCCGCGGGCACCGCCGCCCCCGCCGCGGGCGCTACGGCCGGAGAGGAGAGCCCCGCCGCCGGGCCCCCGCAGCCCCCGCCCGGCGCCCCCGCCGCCCCCTCCGCCCCGCACGGCGAGGGGCTGCCCTTCCGCCGCGGCATCCGCCTGCTGGAGAGCGGCGCGGTGGACAACGTGCTGCAAGTGGGTGAGTGCCCCCCCCATCCCCAACCCCCGCTCCTCCTCCCGCATCGCCCCGCGAGCGGCTCAGCCTTTTGTCTGCTTGTTGTTGGACGGGGAAGTCCTCCCCCCGCTCCCCGTGGGGGAACGACGCGCTTTGCCCCACCCCCCGCGTGTGTCCCACGACCCCGTGTCCCCCCCCACTCGCGGTGCCACGGGGGTGGGAACGCGATGCGGGGACGGTGGCATTGTGCTCTGCGTCCTCGTATTTAGTGGCGGGGGTGGGGGAGGTGTCTTTTGTGTCCGCTTGCGGAGGGGGTGCCGCTCCGTTGTCCCCCATCCTTCCTCCGGTTGCTGTCCCCGCCGTGTCCCTGCGCCAAGGGAACCGGAACGCGGCGTTTGGCACAAAACGATCCGCTCCTGGCTGTTAGCGATGCGCGTTCCCATTCCGGTGACATGACGCTGGGATTTGTTTGGCAAATGTGGGATGTAAATCCATCCCGGATGGTGCGGGGGGGGGGGGGGGGGGGGGGGGG